AGCACCACATCGGAGACGGAAACGGCAACGGCATCGGGATCGTCCAGCTTGAAGCACACTCGCTCCCATGGGTAGGATGCAAAGAAAGACCGCATCCCATCCCAGTCTGCTGACCTGTAGTGCCATAGTCGACGGTGGCCATTAGGTTTGACCCGTGGGCGACGCGAGATAGGCACTCTCGTCCGGATCAGGCAGTGGTCCGACGATCCCAAGGGGGCATCGACAGAAACCAAATAACTGTCCGGATGTGAGGTCAGCAGAAGGTCCAACAGGGAAGGTGTATGATCGTCCACATCTGGGATTCGCGTGGGCGAGGAAACCAGCTGCGCCAGATCATATGACAAGGCAAAGACGTGGACAGATCTCCCCGCGTGATCGGTGGTACGGGAACCGAGCCATTCGGCATGGTGGGCGTTGAAGTCGCCGAGTACCACAATTTCAGCGGAGGGGATCTGTGCCAGAACGGAATCTGTAGCCGTTTGGACTTGCTCCATGAGTCGGTCTATTTCGGCATTACCGCTATGGGACCTATAGAGGCACGCATAGACTCGCGGATGGTCATCGCTATCTACGCGCAGCCACAAAATAGATAGGTCCCTACCTTCAAGAAGGCTGAGGCGACGAGAACAGATATCCTCTCTGACGTACACACATTGTGACCGTTAAATGACATTTTACCGAAATGGGTAGGTAATAAGCGTCTTCGACTATATATTGATGGTATCTTACCGTTGGTGCCGGCAATGGGGAATGTGACTGTGAATTTGGCTGAGCCGTCAGTGGAAGCGGGAACCGCATTAGCATTTATAGTATCGAGTTGTTGATTAACGACTTGTGTGTTAAAGACGTCAACGCCGTTTGCCGTGAGGTTGTATGTGGCAGTAGCGCAGGTACCATCTTGGAACTCTTGGGGATAACTCTCGATGTCATACCAAAGACCCATGTACTGGAAGAAAGACACAATGTTAGTAAAGAGTAACACATAATATTTTAATAGTGAGTCTGAGTAGAGGAGTCGACTTTTTATTCATATAAAGAATTTTTTAATAATCCATTTCAAGCTATTAACACAACACTGGCTTCTTCTACATTCATACATTTACTCATACATGGAAGTCGGATTCGGGTGCTTTAAATATCGTGCTTCTTGAAATTTCTATCAAGACAGTGCGGCAGTATAAAAAGGATGGTCCGGCCCGACACTAACTGTCTTCCGCGCCATTTTCTTTTGTTAATCTCATAGATATAAATATAATAATTACCGCATTAAGATTGAAATTGCGCACGACATCGATGCTTTCGTCACACTGGCCGCGGAAGACTACAGGAGTGCCGCCCGGAGTTGGGTAGTAGAAGCAGCTGTTGTCAGTGTGTTCGATCTTTTGGTAGTAGCGTTCGTTTAGAACGTTGATGTTGTTAACAGTATTGTTGATGTTCCTTTCTGCTTCGACTGATAATGACCTTGTACGACTGAGCTTCCAACTCCAAACTGAAAAATTACAAGAGATGTTTCAGGTAGATCTAGGCAACGTTTTACATAATAATAAAACCCCAATTAAATGATTATTCAAATCTTTTTAAGATCGGTTAACTGGTGTAGGCAAAGACGCAGTACTTTTAGTAAATATAAATTAACTGTTTGGCTTACCTCTTCTCCTTTCTGTATTAATATTTCGACAACTATAAACCAGTGCATATGAATCGTAATCAGTGTCCAAAATCCAATAGTCTGAGGGCTGTGAAGCTGGAACAAAATATTAAGGTCAATTTTGAAATAAAAAAATCTAACACGCTTCCTAATAAGATCTTCTTTAGCTACAAATAAAATTTACCATTCAGATAGACAGTAAATATAGAAGAGTTTAAGTTTATAAATATGATTTGAATTATAAACAAGCTTTAGTATTAATATTGGTGCTAAAAACTTACAAACTATCTGAGAAAAATATACACAATATAGAAGAAAACTTACTGCCAGGGAAAGTAACAAGCAATTTTCCTGTATTATCCGTAGTCGCGAGAACGGCAGAACCAGTCATCGTATCCAAGGTCTGGTTGATGACTTGAGTGTTGAATACGTCGACTGTACCGTTTGGAGTCAGGGTATAAGTAGCCTCGTTACATGCTCCGCTTTGGAAGTCCGATTCATAGGTTTCGATGAGACGCCAACGTCCAGCGTACTAGAAGAAGAAAAGCAAAGCGGTCAGGAATGTAGGATCATCCAAGTCAAGTTGTGTCAACCTATTGCTGTGGGGTATTTCAAAGGTTAAGTGGTTGGTTACTAAGAGAAACTAACGTGGTCTGGTTATCAAACAAATATAATAATTCCTTGGAGATTTTACAGAAATACTTACTCTAACTGGGTCAAAGTTCTGCACCACAGTGATGTTAGGGTCACATTGTCCAACGAATTCTACAGGTGATCCGGGAGGTAATTCGGGCAAAAAGAAGCAAGCCTCATCAGACTGGTCAATATCTTCATAATACACGTTGTCCAAAACGGGAATGTTGGCAATAGCATTATTGATATTCGTGTTAGCTGCTGCAGATAATTGCTTCGTTCTACTGAGTTTCCAACTATACACTGTTGAAATAAATATAATATAATATAATTTGCATTTTTTCAATAATAAATGAAATTTTATTTAAAAACTTAGCGGTATTCCAAACTTCTACGACTTAGGGTCCTTCAAGAAGCGTTTCACAATCTCAAAGGCATACGCATCGGCGGTTCCTCTGGCATTGTAGATGTCCATGGGCGTCGATGAACAGTGTGCCTGCTGCAACTTTGTCCCTTTATCTTATATAAAAAAGAGTAAGTAATAACAAACCTGCTCTGAAATCATTTCCTCTGTTCACACAGCTGTACGCTAAAGCGTAATTATTATAATCTGTGCTCAAAATCCAGAATGGTATTTGAATTGCTGAAACAAATAATAAAAGTACAATAAAACATTTAAAAAATATCCAAAGATATAAAAGATTCTTCTTTTTCCTGGCCTTATCCTAATCATGTGGGATCAGCGCTAAAGGTTTTATAAACCTTAGGGTTTTGGATTATTTTTTTATGGCCAGCATCCTGCCAACCTTACTTGGGAGGATGCAAAGATTATCTTAATAATTATGGAACACTTTATGACAGTATTTTTGACACTATTTTGGAAGGATAATGCAGGGATATAAGCATTAATTACGTTGTGTTTCGACATGATGACTATATTTAAATACTTCTAAAATCTTAAAACAAAAGACATTTTGGATGAATGTTTGTTACAAGCTATCTCCGGAACGCCTCAACGGATCCTGATGAAATTTGGGATAGTTGTAGAACATAGTCTTGAAGAACGAATAGAAACGAGTAATTTTATAAGAACATTACAAATAACTTACGACCCGAGGCTTCTGTAAGAGTTATCAATAATCTTCCACTGGAATCAGTCGATGTAATACTAACAATGCTTTCAGACATGAATAATTCTTGGCCCTGAACATTGAACGATTCCAGATCCGCAGTGCTTCCATTGACTTGTGAATACTGATGTGTGACACATTGACCTGTTTGTTGATCTTTAGGGTACGCTTGGATTTCAAACCATCGTCCTTGGAACTGTAAAAAAAAGGTTAGCTTAGATGTTTGCTTTCCAAAATTAGCTGAACTCCAAAATAGTAGTGTCACTTCATTCCCAATTACCAATTTTATATACCCTAATTACTGGTACTTTAAATAGTAACATTTGGCAAATACACAGTCACAGTTTAACTAATAAATAATATGTAGGTTAGTATTGTTAGGAAGAAAATCCGACATCATGTCGGTGTATCGTTGCAACACTAGCCTTATTAAAATATCAACACTTATGTCCCTTCACTATTCAATCTGACACTTGTCTTGGGAACTTAAGCGTGCCATTCGCTCCAAATGATTTTGATGGATGGATGTTTGTTTGTAGGTATCTACAGAACGGTTGAACGGATTTCCATGTTTGGAATACATATAGAACATAGTCTGGAAGAACACATAGGCAATTATCACTCAGAAAGAGTAGCGAGCGACCGCGAAACGACTGGGTCAACAGTGGTATTGTCTCGTCTTTTTTGTGTATTAATAATTACCTGAGTTAAATTAAAGTTGGGAACAGCTTGTATAGTATTGTCGCACTGTCCTGGGAATACGACTGGTACTCCCGGCTGTGGTTCTGGATAGTAGAAGCATCCTTCGGGACTTTGATCCGTGTTCTCGTAGTAACGCGCATCGAGCACCGGTATCGTGTTAATAACGTTATTGATATTAGAGACAGCGGTAGGCGTCAACTGCTTCGTTCTACTGAGTTTCCAGCTGGCAACTGCATCAATGTTCAATTAATAAAATTAAATGTATAAGACCTTTTTTTAATTGTTTTTTTCTAGTTTAATCTAGCTCTATCGTAAGTAAGTTCTTGGAGAATGTTTCATATTGCATTTTAAATTAGGAATATTATTCAGATCTTACGTTTTGACATCCTGGATTGGAAAGCAGTTAAAAAGTGGAATCTGACTAATATTATAAATGCGCACGTTTGGATGAATAGATGGATGGATCTTTGTTATAAGGTATCTCGAGAAGGGCTGTATGGATCTCGCTGAAATTTGGCATAGATGTACAAATTGTGTTTTTAAGACTATCTTAAAAACACAAAGTTTTTTTTTATTCCACGTGGACAAAGACTCTGACAACAGTTAGTAATTAATATAAATAAAATTACCTTGTCTACGTTCTGCATCCAAATTGAAACACGTGTATACCAGAGCGTATGAAGAATAATCCGTACTGAGTACCCAGTAGTCAGTTGACGTTGTTTCTGTAATTTTATTAATTGTTATTTATTTTTCAATGACCATCAGCTAGACCTCCATCGAGACTTTGTTATTCCTCGGACTGATTGTCAAATTTTTCCAACCTCGATGCCATAAAGTATTATTAAAAAAAATACGTTTAAGGTGTACTTACGATTTGTACCGGCGATTGGGAAACTAACAACAATCTTCGCACTATTATTTGGATCTGGTGTGAGGGTTGCAACACCGTTAATAGTATCCAGGGTCTGGTTGATGACTTGAGTGTTGAAGACATCAACCACAGTACCGTTCAAGGTATACAATGCGTTGCTGCAGGTACCGCCTTGGAAGACAGACGGGTATGATTCGATGTCGTACCATAGACCCAAGTACTGAAATTAATAGAAAGATCATTAAAATTGAAGTCATCACAGTTTGTTGAGATAATAACCATGATAAAAATATATAATATATTAACTAAAATATACATAAAAGTAATAGGTAAAGTAAAAAGGTATTGTATCCTGTCTCTTCGTCTTTCTTTCTCACTCTTAAATTGAAGATTTGTTAAAGACATTAAGTTTTTATTATTATTTTCTGTAGATCTATATCTTTAACTTTTTTTTAATATATTACTTACATCTGCCAGCCTGAAGTTAGTAACTACAGGTATATTCATATCGCATTGTCCTCGGAACACAACTGGCCTGTTCGGTGCTGGTGTTGGGAAGTAGAAGCATGCTGCGTCTGTTTGTACGATCGATTGGTAATACCGTGGGTTCAGTACATCTACTCTGTTTATAATCTGATTGATGGCATTGGCTGATGCTGCTGACAGTTGTCTATCACGGCTTAGTTTCCAGCTCCATACTGAAAAGATGGGTTGATATTAATGTCTTTAAGATTCTTTTTATATTTAATTATTGCTGCGCTATTTATATTTAATAGTAGAAAGATGATTTAGAATACCTCTTCTCTGTTGAGAGTTTATATTTCTGCAGCTGTATACCAATGCGTAGTTAGAGTAGTCAGTGCCCAAAATCCAGTATTCAGACGATTGTGGTGCTGCAAACACATTTAAATATTTAAGTCAGTCGCTATAGTAATGATGTATCTTACTTCTTATTAATATAATAAATGCAAATGTTTAGATGGTGGATGTTTGTTAGAAGGTATCTCCGGAACGGCTCAACGGATCTTAATTAAATTGGGCACAGTTGTTTACTATTTTTTTTTGCGTGGACGGAGTCGCGGTCTACAGCAAGTTATTTGTAAAAGGGATGCAGTAATTAATGAAATTATTTATTTGTCATTGATCAACACCACACGAGTTTACGAGTTACAAGAGAAATTTAAGAAGTTCTGGTACTGTCTTAGTCGAGACTGCTAATTGCAGTTTTTTGGTGCTGTTTGCTCAACCACTGTTAAGATTTATATATATGAATATTTTATTTGTTAGTTCTTTTACAGTCTAGTATAATTACCATTAGGGAAGGTGACTATTAACTTTCCACTGCCATCAGTAGTGGCGAGTACTGCTACTGCGGTTTCAGTTTGTAATTGTTGGTTCACTACTTGAGTGTTAACGACATCCACAGTCGAATTGGGAGTAAGCATATAGTTAGCTTCGTTACAAGTTCCAGCTTGGAAATCTGATTGGTATGTCTCGATCATACGCCATCTGCCTTGGTACTGTAAATAGAATGATCTTATTACATCATCATTAGCTTACAATACGTTCCCGATGAGGGGCTTGAAGCCTACCCTAAATCTACGGTGACTAGGCTAGGTTTTTTTTCTAGCCCTCAATTGTAATTATCTGTTCCTGTATATTTATTTGGTTCAATATGATAAAAGAAATTAGGGCTGCAGAAAACATTGTATTCTTTTCTTAAAGATGTTGGATGAATTCGTTTTTGTATATCCTTATTTGGAGACTAATGAACTTGGATTTTGAGTACACCTTCTTTTAACAATATACGATGTGAAACTTACTCTGACGGGATCGAAGTTTTGTACGACAGGAATAGTTTGATCACATTGTCCAGGGAACACGACAGGGTCGTTGGGACCGAGGTCTGGGAGATAGAAGCAGGCGCTGTCCGATTGATCGATGTTCTCATAATATCTATTTTCTAATACTTCGATGTTTGCAATCGCTGTATTAATAGCTGTATTGGAAGCTGCTGACAATGTCTTAGTCCTGCTAAGCTTCCAGCTGTAAACTGAAATTTAAATCAATATTTAGTAAAAAGTAGCATGAAAAGAATAATTTCATATCTATAGGTAATTTAATGAAAACTCACTTGCTCTAAAGTCTGAATCTCGGTTGACACAGCTGTAGGCTAAAGCGTAGGTATTGTAATCCGTACTTAAGACCCAAAATGGTATTTGGATTGCTGAAACAATTAAAATAGTGAACCTCAATAAAATAAAAACAATTATAGTAAAATCCCACGATTTTAAAAGAACCAATTGTTATAAAAAGTTTTGTTGCCTAGAGGTTTTTAAACAGATATTATTATTATAGAAAACATTAAATTGCTTTAAATTGTGAATAAGCGAAGAATTATTTTTGGAGACAAAAATATCCAATATTATAATGAGTAACTTAACTATAGTATAGATTCACCTTTTATTGTCAGAACACTGTACACTATCAACTTGAGAAGATTTTAGAAAACTTACTTTGGGTGCCTTCCCTCAGCGTGATCAACAATCTGCCGCTACCATCGGTCGAAGTTACAGAAACAACGCTCGAGGTAATTCTCAATGTCTCATTGAGGACGTTAAATGATTGAAGGTTCAGAGTTGCAGTGGTTGCAGATGTGTATTGATGGTTGACGCATTGACCGGTTTGTTGGTCTTTCGGATATGCTTCAATTTCATACCAAGTTCCAGTGAACTGTAAAAGTAATTTATTTGAATGATTTTCACTCAGCAGTAAACTCGCAGGTTAGCCGTCTTGATAAACAAAAAAAAAATAGGTTCTGTTCCAATTTTAAATCTCATAATTTAAGAACACTGACCGATCCCAATCTACGATGAGACCAGCATGTTCTAAACATTAGTTCACTACAGCAATATTGAGTTCCTTAGTAACGATCAACGACAATTATTTAAATCCTTACTTGAGTTAGGTTAAAGCTGGGAACGGCTTGTATGTTCGTGTCACATTGACCAGGGAAGATTACAGGTACGCCTGGTTCTGGTTCAGGGTAGTAGAAGCAACCGTCTCTGCTTTGGTCAACATCGTTAAAATAGCGGTTGTCAAGCACGGGGACAGTATTTATGACATTGTTGATAACGGTGTTTGCGGCTGCCGATAACTGCTTGGTGCGACTGAGCTTCCAGCTACCAACTGTGATATAGAAAATATTATTAATAAAAGTCATAATACTTGAATGACTCATTTCTAATAGAGTGCAAATAAATCATAAATTAAAATGGAAAGCTCACTGCTACGACGTTCATCATCGATATTCCTGCAGGAGTATACCAACGCGTAAGAAGAATAATCAGTACTCAATACCCAGTAATCAGTTGATGTTGTCACTGAAATATAGAAACAATTAATCATCATCATCGACCTGCCCTCAATACAGAGGATAAAATTAATACATACGATTTGTTCCAGCGATAGGGAAGCTGACTATAACTTTAGCGCTGTTCTGAGGGTCAGCGACTAATGTTGCTACTCCTCTGATCGTGTCCAAAGTTTGGTTCACAACTTGTGTGTTGAAGACATCTACTACGCCGCCGTTGAGTGTGTAGAAAGCATTGCTGCATGTACCGAATTGGAATACGGTAGGATACGATGAAATGTCGTGCCATAAACCCAGGTACTGAAAGTAATTTACATTAAATTACTCATCTTACAGTATACGAAAAACCAATTCTGTTTAATATTTAAAAATATTGATAGCTTAAAGTCCTTAATCCATTACACCTTTTTTTTCTTTTACTAATTAAACTAATGTGTGTGATGGATGTGTTTGTTTGAAGGTATCTTCAGAAGAGCTGAACGGATCGCGATGAAACTTGACATACATATAGAACACATAATTATACACATACTTATTATGTTTTTTTTTAATTCCGAGCGGCCGAAGTCGCGGGCTATAACTAATAATTAATACAATATAAAATTATCGATTTATATTTATTTAAGTTTCAAAATAATTACCTGTCCAAGATTAAAGTTAGTCACGACCGGTATATTGGGGTCACATTGTCCTCTGAAGATAACAGGCGTATTTGGCGCTGGCTCTGGGTAGTAGAAGCAAGCGGCATCCGATTGCTGAATGGATTGATAATAGCGACTGTTCAAAACGTTGACTCTGTCGACGACCTGATTGATGCTGTTAGCAGCGCTAGCTGATAACTGTCTAGTTCTACTGAGCTTCCAACTCCATACTGAAAAGGAAACAATGGGGTTAAATAGAATATGATGACATTTCTTATTGAGATGTAATAGTTATATTTCATAGTAGAAGGTAAGTTAGTTCTTAGTAGTATTTAAAAGGAGGGAAGCGTTTAATTTTGACTACATTTCTTACCTCTTCGCTGTTGATTGTTGAGGTTCCGACAGCTGTATACTAAAGCGTAGTTATCGTAGTCGGTAGCCAGGATCCAGTATTCAGAAGGAGCTGGAGCTGAAGACAGAAAATAGTTATTAAGTATATTGTTTTTTTTACCATTACACACACGTTGATTTAGTTTTATCAATTTATTTATATTCTTGTTAATTTCTATTTGAATCTTATAATTTATTTTATTCACTGCTCTTGGACTATTAATTGTACTTCCAAGTAAATATTATTACCATTAGGGAAGGAGACAAGTAATTTCGCACTGCCATCAGTAGTAGCCAATACTGCAGATCCATTAACGACTTCTAGGTTTTGGTTGACAACTTGTGTGTTGCTTACATCAACTGTAGCGTTCTCTAGCAGTCGGTAATTAGCTTCGTTACAATTACCAGATTGGAAATCGGATTCATAACTCTCGATCATACGCCATCTGCCCATATACTAGAAAAGAGGTTGATTATAAGTAATTTACGTAAAACAAATGAAGGTTGAAACGAGTAGTGAATTTAATTAAAGTTAATATTATGTTTATTAAAAATAAATCTCTCATTTCTCTTTGTTAAAAATGAGCAAGAAGATTGCTATTAAATCCCATTTTCGTAATTTACCTTCCTTTTTCTTTATTTACTATTGTTACAATACTTTTAGAATTATCGAGAGATGTGCCAGGATCGCCCCAAAATACAAGTCTGTATTCAGAGTAAGCGCATGAGCAATGTTTTTAGAAACTATTTATTTTTAACTTACTCTAACTGGATTGAAGTTTTGTACAACACTTATATTAGGATCACACTCTCCAGGTAAGATGACAGGTTGTCCGGGTGCAATGGTCGGCAAGTAGAAGCAAGCGTCGTTAGATTGGTCGATAGTCTCATAATATCTGTTGTCTAGCACTTCGATGTTGGCTATAGCGTTGTTGATCGCCGTGTTAGCAGCAGTAGACAACTGTTTATTTCTGCTGAGCTTCCAGCTGTAAACTGTAGATATATATTTTTTTTAGAATAAGATACGATCTGATAGATTTGGCTTTATTTGCTCAAAAATTATAGCGAACAGTACCTGCTCTGTAATCTGATCCACGGTTAACGCAGCTGTAGGCCAAAGCGTAGTTAGAATAGTCCGTGCTCAGGACCCAGAAGGGAATTACTACACCTGGATGAAAACATTATGAATAAATTATTTATGGCAGCCAGTAATTTTAAAAACATTTTAAAAATAATGGAAATTAAAAGTCAATTTTGTAGCAAAATCGATTTTTAATTAGTAAATATGTGATACTAACGGTCATTGCCTTCTGTAAGAGTAATTAGTAGTCTTCCACTGTTATCTAAAGAGTTGATGGTCACCACGCCGTTGGAGGTTCTTAATGTTTCATTAAGAACGTTGAAAGAGGCCAGATTCAAACTATTTGTTGGTGAATCTAATGTGTACTGGTGGTTGATACACTGACCAGATTGTTGGTCTTTTGGATACGCTTCGATTTCGTGCCATGTTCCTGAGAACTAAAAAAAAATCGCATCATTGTAATCGATGAAAGGTGATACAAGAATCTTTTACAGTTTGGACAAAATTAGTTATATCTTTACTGGTTGGATTTAGATAAATTTGAAAACCATGTCACAAATTATTTACTTTATTTCCTGTAATATTACCAATAATAATTCTTAATCTGATTTCTTAATTTAGCGACATTTGCAATTTTTGTAAATATTTTGGCTGTAACAGCAATTAGTACTATTTGCTTGCTAGTGATCACTTTAAATAGATTTTATCATCTTCAAAATGTATAATGTTCTATACATAAAAATCTATTGCTCTTCATAAGTCTCGCTAAAACTCGAGAACGGCTGAACGGATTTATCTTGTCTTGGTCTTGAAATGTTCGTGGAGGTTAAAGGTAAAAATTCAAATATTTTCGGGAGGTAATTAAGTTTTTTTATTCCACGCGAACGGAGTCGCGGTAATGTGTAATAAAATTACTAATTACCAAGTTCAAATTGAAGTTAGGAACAGCGGCAATATTCGTGTCACACTGTCCAGGGAATACGACAGGCTTGCCCAGTTCAGGTTCCGGGTAATAGAAGCAACCGGTTACACTCTGGTCTCTAATTTGGTAGTAACGTTGGTCCAATACTGGTATGGTACTGATTACTGAGTTTATAGCAGTCGTGGCCTGAGTTGTTAGTTGTTTAGTTCTGCTGAGCTTCCAACTTGATACTAAAACAACAATTAGGAACAAGGATTAGATTTGGGATGATACAATCACAACATAAAAATATAATATCTCTCTCTAGGTGACTATCAATTAATAGACGTTGGTTACCAATTTGGTAAACTTTGCCGATCTTTTGCTAAGCGAAATATTTTTTTTACACTGGCAGTTTTTGTCTATTCCTCGATATTTGGCAATTAGAATTCTGTCCTTATTCGTAATGTTCGAATGTTTTAAATGAGATTAAATTTTACACAATCGTACTAATAAATGCATATGTTTAGATGTATGGATGGATGTTTGAAGATATCTGCAGAACGGCTGAACGGATCTCAATGAAATTTGGCGTATATATAGTACGTAGTCTGGAACAACACATAGTCTTCAAGTTTTTTTTATTACGCGCGGGCGGATTTGCGGGCGGTCGCTAGTAATTCTATAGTAGTTCAAGTACATGTAAATACCTTGTGATCGTTCATCGTCAAGATTCGTGCAGCTGTATACCAGGGCATAGGACGAGTAGTCCGTTGATAGAACCCAGTAGTCGGTTGTTATGTTAACTGAAATGTAAATGTAATAATTAACCTCTAAAATCTAACCTTTAAGAACTGTAAAAACATCATAAATGTATTATTTAGTATCAGATTAAGTTAATTCTGATGATTATATAATACATATAGCAAATTGCTTAGATGCTTTGTATTAAAGAACTGTGTTACTTACGATTAGTTCCAACAATTGGGAAGGTAACAAGGAGTTTAGCACTTCCGTCAGTAGATTCTCTCAAAGTCGCTTCACCCCTGATTGTGTCTAATGTCTGGTTGATAACTTGTGTATTAAACACATCAACAACTCCGTCCCCTAATTCGTAGAAGGCGTTAGGGCAAGATCCATCTTGGAATGGTGTAGGATAAGATTCGATGTCGTGCCATAAATTCAAATACTGTAAAAAATTCTTCATTTATGTATTCAAATAGAACAAATTTTCTTACTCTAACTAATATTATATATGCGAATATTTAGATGGATGGATGGATGAATGGATGTTTGTCTGAAGGTATCTACGGAACGGCTCAACGGATTTTGATGAAATTTGGCACAGGTGTAGAACGTAGTCTGAAAGAACATATAGGATATTTTTTTTATTACCGCGCGAACGGAGTCGCGGGTGACAGCTAGTAATATTATAAATGGGAATGCTTAGATGGATTTTGGTATGAAGGTATCTCCGGAACGGCTCAACGGATTTTGATTAAATTTGGCCTAAATGTAGAAAATAGTCTGGAAGAACACATAGGCTACTTATTAAGTTTTTTTTTAATTTTTCGCGGATGGAGTCGCGGTCCACACTTAGTAAATTAATAAATTTCTCTTATTCAATGTTAAAATCGGAAGAAAAGTTAGTTTTTAAATTAATAAATATAATAGTTACCCTAGCTACATCAAAGCCAGTAACGACTCTTATGTTTGGATCACATTGTCCTCGGAAAATAACAGGGCTGTTACTGGGCACTGGATAGTAGAAGCAACCAGAATCTGATTGGTCGACGATTTCGAAGTAACGGTTGTTGAGTACATCCACGGAGTTAATTACACTGTTGATGTTATTAATTGCTGTTGGTGTCAAGTTTCTGGTGCGGCTGAGTTTCCAAGCAAAAACTGAAAATTAAAAAAGAAATATATTTCTTGAAGAAAGTCGTGTTAGTTACACTATTTATAACTCAAGAACGGCTTTACCGATATGTCTGAAAATTGGTGAGGAGGTAGCTTAGAGCCAGGAGACGGACATAGGATACTATTTATTCATTTTTTTCGAATTCATGCCTTGAAGAGTTGCTTTCTATTTAACTTACTAATATTATAAATGCTATTGTTTAGATGGATGTGATGTGGATGGATGGGTGTTTGAAGACGTCTCTAGAACGGCTGAATGGATCTCGATTAAATTTGGCATACGTATAGAACATAGTCTGAAAGAACACATAGGCTACACTAAGTTTTTTATATATCCACGCGGACGGAGTCGCGGGCGACAGCTGCTTTAACATAAAAACAATTCTTCTTTTGTATTTCTAAACCAGGTGCTTTACACCTTGTATTAAGGATTTTAGTTATAATAGTTTAAAAATAAAATTGTAACCTCTTTGCTCCTGAGCGTTGATGTTCCTGCAGCTATAAACTAGAGCGTAAGAATCATAGTCAGTGTCTAAAACCCAGTAATCCGCTGGTGCTGATGCTGAAAAAATACAGATTATAGCTTAGTATTACTTACAATTGAACTATAAATTAAATAGGTATTATCAGCTCAATTGGTTGATTTTGTAATAATTTCCGCTGCAGCATATTACAATCCTAATTCTTGTCAAAATTTGGCAATAATTCGCAACTAATTTGCTATTTGTTGCTATTTGTTGAGACACTTAATAAGAGTGAACTGCTTGTTTATGCGTTACCTTATAATTAAATTATAACGCTATCAAGTTTTAGGCATTTAATTTTAATATTAGCAAATTTTTGTAAATTTACTAATATTTCTTGTACCATTCCAACTAAACTACGCTTGTGTTAGGATATGGTTTACAATAGTCGAATAGCGGGATTCGAACGCCCGACTTTGTGATCGGGAATCCGCACCCTTAACCATTAGGCTATTGGCGCTTGGTTTTAGAATCCTTTGGCGCGAATGGTGCGCTTTCGTTACCAAGTCAAGTGTTACAATGACTAGTGAGGGGACATAAACGTCGACATTTTAGTAATGCTAGTGTTGCGTCAGTACACCGGCACAGTATCGGATTTTCTTCCTAACAATAGTAAGGCGTTTTTTTGTTCTATATAAAATACTCACTTCCAGGGAAGTTGACCAGTAATTTGGCGCTGCCGTCAGTCGTCGCGAGAGTCGCGGTACCGTTTATTGTGTCCAGCTGTTGGTTTATTACTTGAGTGTTGTAAACATCGACCACGTTGTTATTTAATGTGTACGTAGCATCATTACATGTGCCAGATTGTTGCTCCGTGAAATAAGTCTCAATTAGGCGCCAACGTCCTAAATACTGAAATGGAAATGAAAATAATATTAATACTTTTAATTACAAGAGCGTCGGTGACTCAGGGGTGCACTTGACTTGCAATCAGCAGGTCCTCGGTTCGAATCCCGACATGTAGAACCAATGTGTTTTTCGATTTCCGATTTACATATGTACATTTATCCGACGTTCTTACGGTGAAGGAAAATCGTGATACAACATATCTGAGAAGAAATTCAAAGATATGTGTGAAGTCAACCAACCCACACTTGGCCAGCGTGGTTGACTATAGCCTAATCACCCTTAACTTAGGGTAGGCTCCGAGCCCCTCGGTGGGGACGTATAGTGAGCTGATGATGACTTTTATTAGAAAAAATATGAATAGAGATGAATAAAAATAGTAAAAGCGTGACTTAATACACAAAAACAAATTATAAGTTTGTTGCTAATGGGAAATCTTCAATCACTTACGTTGGATTTCTGAGACCAAAATCACTATATATCTTCATTCCTGTCATTATCTTCGACAAAACAGAGATAACATTATGATATGAATTGGAATTTGGTCTCAGGAACCGATGGTTAGAGTTCGTAATGTGAATTGTTAAGTAGCTTGTTTAAATCCAATATTTTAAAACAATTGTTCAATTTTAAAACAGCGAAGATACAGAAGTAACCTTACTTCTTGATATGTTACTAATATGTTCGTTACGTTTTTGGTGAATTCCGCACGGACTGTATCGCGAGGAAAAGCTAGTATAATACTTACGCGAGCAACGTTGAAGTTCTGCACGACAGGTATGTTTACGTTGCATTGTCCTGGTAAAACAACCGGTTGACCCAGTGGTATATCTGGTAGAAAGAAGCAGGCGCGATCTGATTGGTCAATGGCCTGGTAGTACTGATTGTCCAGAACTACATTGTTGGCCATCACACTGTTCATGGCCGTGTTGACAGCGGCCGATAACTGTTTCGTTCGGCTAAGCTTCCAGCTGAAAACTGTTGAAAAAAATTGTCTTATAGCATCTGTTCATTACACAAAGGGGCTCGGAGCCTACACTAAGTTAGGATGACTACTCCATAGTTAACAATGCTAGTCGAGTGCGGGTTGGTTGACTTAACACATGTCTTTGAATTTCTTCGCAGATATATACAAGTTGCATCACGATGTTTCCCTTCACCGTCAAAACGTCGCATTACGTAGCGGGATTTGAACCCAGGATTTGCAGTTTAGAAGTCAAGTTGTTAACCCTAAGCCACCGATGCGCTCTTATATGTGTTATAACGTTTTCAATCGAATATATACGAAACAAGATGGGTACTTTAAAATTTTCGTTAACTTTTATTAATTCACTTGAAGTACCAAAGTCTTAATTTTACAGCCAGCCTGGATTTAATTATCATATTATGTAATACATAAATGCAAACTTACTTTTTCTGAAGTCACTTCCATCGTTGATACAGCTGTACGCTAATGCAAAATCGTTGTAATTTATACTGAGAATCCAGAATGGAATAACAACCTCTGAAAAAAAAAACATAAATTTGTATTACATTCTAAAACAAAGACTTTAAAGGCGTGAGACAGTAAAAAATTAGGACTTGTTTTGAGCCTCAATTTTTTTTGCCGTAGTATGTTTTTAAATATTCTACTAGATGGCGTTGATTTAATAAAACATACTAGAAATTTTTTTATATCAAAAGGTGACAAACGAGCGAGCGGCCACTTGAAATCGCTAAAATAGCGAAGTGACTGTTGCCCATAGACATACGCATTTGCATATGCGTAGCCTACCTTAAATTGACGGAGGAGAGGATGCACAGAAAGAAAATATCTTTCCTTTTCATGTATCCTCTCATCCGGAAAGTCCAATTGCACTTCCTTCCTTATAAGAAAAAGGGTGGGAAGGGAAAGAGGACTAAATTAGGCCTCCGGGACGCACACTCATCAGACGAAACGCGGAATTGCTTCCACTTGACGCCTGTCTTCTGTGTGGTCGTGGTATTTCACGGGGCGAGCCTGGCCGATTCGTGCGAAGATGTTAAAGCGGGCTCTACCACTGTTAAAATAATAAACATCATGTAGTTTAGAAGTATTTCCGTACCTCCAGTGTTTGTTTGTATTCTTAATGTTAATCTGCCGCTTGAATCAGTCGATTGGAATGCCAGAACTGAATTTGTAAGGCCTAGGAATTGGTCCGTTACACTGGACGATACCAGGTTCAATGTATTACCGGTACCAGTGCTGTAAGTGTGGTACACACACTGACCAGTTTGCTGTTCTTTAGGGTATGCTTCCACTTCGTACCATACACCTTGGAACTGAAAGACAAAAGTTTTATAAGAATAGCAGACACCCGAGACTTCGTCAGGGAAGAATTAAAGTATCCTATAATCCATGCATCAGCAACCCGTTTAAGTCAACGTCCAAAATCGGTCCAGGCGCTCTAGACTCAGAGTAAACGCATCCTTGTGGGCATACAGACAGAAAGACAAAGATTTTAAGAAATGCACGAAATATGTTTTTTTTTTATATATTACAGACATTCCAATTACATTAACATGTAGATGTTGCCCACGACTTAAAATAAATTAAGTATCAAGTTCATATTTCTCCTGCATACATCAACGGCTCAGCTGTTTTGGAGAAGTACAAATGAGAAAATGAAAAGCTTGTGACACTTGATTTAGTATCCAAAACTTTTTCTCGGATGTTATAATTATTTCCTTTTAAAAATGACTCATCTCATAATTGTTGGTACACTAAGATAAATCATTTACCTGCTGCAATGAAAATCCTGTCACTACTGGAACATTTACGTCGCACTGTCCTGGGAATCGGACTGGAACGTCAGTCTGCGGCTCGGGGTAAAAGAAACATCCCTCGGGGCTCTGATCTTTTGCCACGAAATATCTTTGATCCAATACTTGGACGTTGTTAATAATTGTATTGATCGCAATATTACCAGCAGCAGTCAGTTGTTTCGTTCTACTCAATTTCCACGCGTATACTGAAATTAGAGAATGTTAAACTGACTGTCAGGCGGGTCCTTATATTTCTCTGCATGAAAATATAAAAAGGTTAATTAGTTTCTTACCTTGTCTTTGGTCATTACCCATATTTGTACAAGTGTACACCAACGAATAGCTGACATAATCAGTGTCAAGAACCCAATAATCAGTTGAAGTAGTGACTGTAAATAGAAAGAATTCTAGTAAGTAAAACGAGGATTTCAGTTTAAAACAATACTTATTTATTCTAAGACACGTTTTTAAATTTCTTCCTAGATATGTTTATTTTGCATATGACACATATGTCAATCTAAAATCGAAAAACACATTGGTAACAAAACACATATCAGGATTTGAACCAAGTGGATTACAAGTCAAGTCTCCTGAGTCAACGACGCTCGAGACATGTCATCTCTTACAATCTCTTTGAAGCAGTAGAGACGAAAATATGTGATATAAAAGTAAAACTCCACGGTACTTACGATTCGTGCCGGCGATTGGGAATGAAACTTTGAGTTTAGCTGTTCCATCAGTAGACGCGAGAACAGCAACACCTTCCATAGTATCTAATCTTTGGTTGACGACGTGAGTGTTGAATACACGCACTGTTCCACCGGTCAGAGTGTACAGAGCATTATTACAAGATCCATTTTGAAATACTGACGGATACGACTCGATGTCATGCCACAGACCCATGTACTGAAAATAATAAATTGAAAATGATACTAAATGTTCATTATTCCAGACGAAGAAAATCTTAAAAAGTTAGACTTGGTGGTGAAGTAACTGCCATGTGGCGTATGAAATCTACAACCATTGCTCCGATCGGATAGTCGTATAGTTGAATGAACTAATAGCGAAGAGCAACATCTAAGGAAGCTCTCCTTAAATAGTTGGGTTAAAGTTCTGATACAAAATGCAGCTTTTTTGGAAATACATTCATAAAATTTTTCACATATGTCTATAGTGATCAAGATCTCTTTTCCACTAAGCCAAGTAGTCATGTGTTATGGCTCTTTCTTTAATGGCCAGTGGAATTGTATATTTACTGCTTAATCTTGGTAATGGATAACGTAAAAACTTTTGTAATTATTCTTGATTAGACATTAGTTAGTAATTAGTTGGAACTTAGTTGTTACCTAGTTAGTTCTTGATTATTTGTATTTAATTAGTTCGTATTGTTAGGAGGAAAATCTGACACTATACAGTATATCGGCGCAACACTAGCCTTATTAAAATGTCAACGTTTATGTCCCCTCACTAATCAATCTGACAGTTGACATGGTAACGCGCGCCATTCGCGCCAAAGGATTCTAACTAATATTGTCTAAAAGTACATTCTTTAGTGCTTTGTACTTACTCTGTCAGGTTGGAAGGCAGGCATTGCTGGTATACTCAAGTCACATTGTCCAGGGAACACGACTGGCTGTCCCGCAACTGGATCAGGGAAGTAAAAGCATCCAGCATCGGATTGATCGGTTTGTAAAAAGAATCTAGTGTTCAAATCGATTTCAGATCTAATAACTTCGTTAACAGCTTGCTGTGATGTTCCTGATAATTGCCTTTGCCTGCTGAGGATCCAACTTCGCACTGAAATTAAAAAAAAAACAGCTATTGGTTGTAATTTAGTATTTGAAACAATATTAAATATGAAGAAAAAAGAATGTTCTTTTTTTAAAAATCAGAATTTGTGATGGAATATAAATGAATTTAGGTTTTTGTTTTTAAAAATGTTACCTCGTCTCCGATTATTGTCAAGATTGACACAGTTGTAAGAGACTGCATAGTTATCGTAGTCAGTCGCCAAAATCCACAATTCCGCTGTTGAAAAAACTGTAAAAAAAAGGAAAAAAATGTTTAAATCTTACCAATATAAAGGGGAAAGTTTATTTTGATTAATATTAGAAGGTCTAGGGGAGCTACAAGCGATGGACTTTCAGAAGAAGGCTCAAGACAGGCGACTTTGGCGATCTCTTGTATCGGAGGCCAAGACCCACTTTGGGTTGATGCGCCAGCGAAGTAAGTAAGAAGGTCTAAGGAACGGCTTAATGGATCTTGATGAAATTTGGCAATGATGTAAGAATAAGAATACATTTATTTCACAAAAACACGTTAGAATAATATACATTGAAGTATCTTGCAGACTCCGAACTAGGCTGAGCCTGTATCTCGGGGCCTAGGAGTGCATTAGCCATGAACAAAATAACAGTGTATACATATCATGTAAAACTAAGCGTGATATTATGAGATACAATTTGGAAAATAAGAAAATACATGAAGAAATTAAACTAACTAATTTTGAACTGCAAATAATATCAAAGGGTATCATGTGTGTGTGTGTGTGTGCGTGTGTGTGTGTATGTGTTTTTTTTAAGTTAGGTGTGCAGGTGAATTGTTACTGGCTGGCGCAAAGGTGTAGAACATAATCTGCATAATTCCGCGCGAATGAAGTCCCGGCTGACATCTAGTATTGAGTAAACGTTTTTATTTACGCACGCCCATGGTTACTAGATAGTCTTTGTTAAAGATTTTTTGTTACATTTTACATAATTTGTTATCATAAACCCAAATGATATGAAGCAAATTGTATGTTGTTTGTTATGTAATAGAATTTTGTTACGTAAATTTTATTATACTTCAGTAATATTATCGATATCCTATGTAGCCCCAACATCTACGGTATCTAGAATGTGCGCAATCAATTATAAAACCTATTTCGTAGTGTTAAGGATCATTTTTAAAATTACAAATATTTAAATACTAATAATTTTTCTCGTGACATATTGATAAGAATGTTAGACATATTTATGTAAAAAAATATGTTATATAAGAAAGAAAATAACATCTGTTGTATAATAAGTTAAAGCCATTGCAAATAAAAATAACGATAACCCCGATAAAGATGTTTTCGGAATGATTATTTCAATGATTTAAACGCCTCATTTATTCTTTTAAGTTGGTACAGTTTTAATAACTTTGTTAGAATATCACAATTCTCATTTTTTTTATTCCATAAGGTTGGTAACGAGCGAGCGGCCACCTGAAATCGCTGAAATAGCGAAGTGACCGTGGCCCATAGACATACGCAATTGCATATGCGTTGCCTACCTTTAATCGACGGAGGAGATGACGCATAGAAAGCAAATATTTTCCCTTTCCTTGCATCCTCATCCTGAAAATCCACTTCTACTTCCCATCCTTTCCTTATAAGAAAAATGGTGAGATGGGAAAGACGACTAAATTAGGCATCGGGACGCACACTCATCAGACGAAACGCGGAATTGCTTCCACTTGACGCCTGTCTTCTGTGTGGTCGTTGTATTTCATCGGGCGAGCCTGGCCTATTCGAGCGAAGATGTTAAAGCGGGCTCTACTACTGTTAATTATTCGTCTAGAATAGAGTTAACATGGTATTCCATAACGAAGTTCAAAAATATATGGAACTAACACATGACAATCACGTGACTTATCGATAGTTATTGTCAGGCAATGGGTCTAGAGGAGCTGGGGTCTAGCAAGAATTATTTGCGGCAACCGCCTTAGTATTATCATCGACTATTATGTCATAATTAGTATGGAGATATTTAGTGTCCTTTACGCCCCATAGACGCTATAGAAATTTTAAAAGAAATTTTTTCGATGAGGATACGATAGCATTTGTTTCGTCTTCGTGCGCTGATTGTGTAATATAGTTAATTTGTTTTCTTTTATGGAATACTAGCTGTTGTTCGCTCCATTCGCACAGAATTAAAAAAAAAACCTAATTAGTAAGTAGCCTATATGTTCTTCCATACTATGTTCTACACGTATGTCAAATTTCATAGAGATCTGTTCAGTCGTTTAAGAGATACATTCAAACAAACATCCATCCGTCCACCCATCCAAAGACTCGCATTTATGACATCAATAAGATGTGAATGCAATCGAAGAATTAAACATTTTTTGAAATAAGAAACTATCTGACTCTTTATAGATGTTTTATATAAATTTTTCTTTCTTTCTATTTTTAATCAGAAATGGATATGACGTGATCGAAATTCAACATATTACGAGCCGTTTTATATCTTTATTTATTAAACCTAAAGCTGAGTCATACGATTACATTGATAATTGTTATAAATATTATCAATACAGTGTATAAGTATTGAATTAAACACACCTTCAACAATTGTTTGTTGTATCCGACATTACTAACAATTTAGACCTAATTGTTAACATGATAGCTAGTTATTAATCATTAGGTTGAGCACACAATAACGGGCAATAGCCTAGTCACGTGCACTATAATCTATGTCCTCTACAGGGACACCTTGTAGATAATATACTAGCCTTTGCCTGCGAATTCGTCAGAGTGGAATTAAAATCATCATCTAAACTTATCCTACTCACATAATGTGAGCGTCCAAGGATTGATAAACATTAAAGTTTTGGCTACATTTTTTGTCTGTTGCCAACCCTACTTAGTTTTTTTTTATTTTAGTATAATCTTTCAAAGTTCTTTCTGCTTACATTAGCTATCTTTCAGTATAAGTCCCGTTAAAGTCGCCGTTTCGGAGATTACGAGAAACTAACGCAGTTTTAAGAAAATGTGATTTTTATATTACATATTTATCCAATATCTAATTACCAGTATTTTTTCATTTGATTCATTATTTAAGGTTAGTTCCCGTTTATTTGGTTTTGTCATTCATTTATTAGCTTTTTGATAGAGTTAAAGAGTCACAGCAGTTTAAAATCACGGTTTGGTTGTGCGTTATGTTCAAGCGTCAATAGCCTAATAGTTAAGGATTTCCGATCACCAGGTCGGGGGTTCGAATTCCGCCATTCGACTATTGTCGTAAACCATATCCTAGCACAAGCAATACAGCTTAGTTGGAATTGTAAAAGAAATATTAGTAAATTTACAAAAAAATCTGCTAATATTTTTAATAAAAAAAAGTACATACCGTTAGGTGCTACTTCTAAGTTGACAGTTAATTTAGCGGATCCATCTGTTGTGCTAACAGTTGCTCTTCCACTGATTGTCTCTAATCTTTGATTGACCACTTGACTGTTGAGGACGTTGACACCAGCGCCTGATAACGTGTATTCAGCTCTGTTGCAAGATCCTCCTTCATTTTCTGTGTAATATCTTGATATTTGATGCCATACTCCACCGAACTGAAATTAATTCTTGCTCTTATTTATTTATTCCACTATCTATGTTGGTCTCTCCTGTCAGGCAACCCAATGGTGCTTGGAAGAGATCGCTTATAGCGATAAGGTCGCTCTTGCTATTTGAATTAGTTTTTAGTCATGTTTTTATCTATTTATATAGGAATAAGAGTTGACTATGGCCCAGTCATACCTAACTTAAGGTAAGCTATGGACCCTTTGGTGGAGACGTATAGTGAGCTGATGATTAATGAATTAAATCTTCTACGAATAAGACTCGACGAAATTCTTATACGAATAAGACTTGCTATTGCACGCGACTTTGTTAGGACGGAATTAAATTAAAATGATGTATGTGTTATTCGAGACTATGTTCTAAATCTGTGCTTTTTAAAAATATGTGTTACAGAGTTATCTAGTAAATATGTGGAATCAAAACAAAGTTATTTCACGGGGACCGTATGTACATAATTCCGGGATCATAGCTAGCCTATGTGTTCTTAAAATGTTCTACGTCTATTCTTAATTTCATTCAGCTCCATGAAACCGATTTGGAGATACCTTCTAACAAACATTCAACAATACATCCAAACATTCACATTTATAATATTAATTTAGTTAATATTTCTTGGATTAAAATTAAAATTTATGTAAATAAAATGAGTGTTTCATTCATTGTTAATTTCTCCTTTGTAATAACTTATTTAATAAGATAGTAAAATGAGTCAATAACACGAAGAAAGATTAATTAAATGAAGGAAAATTTATCTTAATTTCAATATAAATGTGGCGTGCTATAAAGTCATTGATCTAATTAATTTAATGTTTTTATATTATTAAAAGTAAACATTATTAATTCAAGAACCAGTTATAAATGAGACGAAAGAGAAATTCTGAACAAACCATTATTGTCATTTTATAGCAAAGAAGACAGATAAAACCTCAACCTCTTTTCCAGAACTGAAAAGAGCTCACGTCATACGTCCGCACTGAGGGTCTCAGAGTTTATTCTTAATTAGGAGTGACTAGACCATAGTCAACCACGCTGGCCCATTGCGGGTTGACTTCACACATATCTTTGTATTTCTTCCCTGGTATGTGCTGATTGCATCATGATGTTTTCCTTCACCGTAAGAACGTCGGATAAATTTACATATGTTAATCCAGAATCGAAAAATATAATGGTACATAGCAGGATTCGAACCCAGGACATGTAGATTACAGGTCAAGTACCCTTGAGCCATCGAAGCTCTTGAAAAGTATGTATATTTATTTCATTCTTACCCTTGCGGCGTTGAAATTGGTAACAACACTCATATTGGTATTACATTGTCCGGGAAGTATAACAGATTCGTTGTTAGCGATTTCTGGTAGGACATAGCAGGCGTTTTCCGAGTGGTCGATCCTCCTTAAGTCAGAAGTGTCGATGCCAAGAAGATTGTTTATAGTAGTGTTAACGAGTGCTTCCATCATCTCGGTGGGATATGTAGTCGCCCGTCCCAACTGCCAAAGGTATACTGGAAGAGACATCACATTTAAATTAGTGAAAGCCTTGCATTTGAACTTTTGTATCATAATAAATGCGCCTGAAGCTTGTTGTGTGTGTTTTGTTGGATACAACATTGTGTATTTTTTTATTTAGATGTGGAAAGTTGTTTTTATTTAGAATTAACTACATATCTTACCGCTTCGCTGCACATTTCCAATGTTCTGACATGCGTAACCAACAGCAAAGTTGTCGTAATCCGTAGTCAGGATCCAGAAGTCAACAGCTGTACAAAAATGTAAAATTTTAGTTTAAATAACTTTGCCAACGTATAGGGCAAGTCCTCAAACGATAGGGCAGATTTTGACTTGAATGAACAGATTTTTATTAGTATTATTTACGGGAGACATTCTGGGTCACAATCTTGCTGATTCTTGTCTTTAAATTTCCTGTTAATAGACAGGTTAAGGACTTGGAGAAGATATTTGTTGTCTGTATATAATACGTAAAAATACATTTCAAGGTGATATTATTTATGACTAGCTATTCTTGCGACATCGTCCGCGTCTGAGCTGCGCGCGGTACTGGACAGTACTTAGACATTGCAATATTACTTTATTTTCTAAAAATAAAAGATTTTTTCTTGAATAAATGTAGCCTATGTTACTCCTTATTACATTAGCTACCTGCCAATAAAAGTCTCGTAAAAATCGGTCCAGCCATTTCGGAGATTATCCGGAACAAACAAACAGACGAAAAATTATAAAAAATGTTATTTTAATATTACAAACAGACACTTCAATTATATTTATATGTATAGATAAATTGTATTCTTACGATTTTGTACGCCATCCAGTCTGAGCGTGTATTTCGCAGTGCCCTGTTCAAGTGTTGCTGTGCCGGTGATTTCTCCATAGAAATTATTGTTAACAGCTGTGTTTGTTACATTAATAACATTGTTGTTTTGTGTCAATTCGAGAACCGCACAGTCGCCATTTTGTAGGTTATTTTCTGCTCGTGCTATGCCATACCACGTGCCAAGGAACTAAAACAAAAATCACATGTTTTTGAAATTGAATGAAAATAGATTTAGAAATGATTATTAACGTACTAAGTACCTAGTTCTCAGGAATATTCCCGTTTAGATCCTAACACTATTGACATGAAGTAATGAATTAACCTTTATTTTCATTTTGTATAGTATACCATACATACAACTTTATAAAAATATACGATCAATATAAAATAATTTTTAACTTAGTTTATTTATTTTATTAAATTAAATTCGTGATATGGTTATTATAATAACATGAAAATACATTTTAAAATGTTGTCGCCCTCATTTCCGGTTTATACGAAATGCTTGTGTATTGCAGAATAATCAATGGATACGGTTGCTCAATTGACTTGATGTCGCACACTTAGATTTCTGACTAGTAGTGACACATGACACACCTCTCTTGCAGATGTTGCGTTATTATTATAACTATACTTTTTTTTATATCATAAGGTGGCAAACGAGCAAGTGGCAACCTGAAATCGCTGAAATAGCGAAGTGACCGTTGCCCATAGACATACGCAATTTCATATGCGTTGTCTACCTTTAATCGACGGAGGAAAGGTTGCACAGAGAAAAAATATTTTCCCTTTTCATGCATCCTCTCATCCGGAAAGTCCACTTCCAGTTCCTTATAAGAAAAAGGGTAGGAAGAGAAAGAGGACTAAATTAGGCCTCCGGGACGCACACTCATCAGACGAAACGCGGAATTGCTTTCACTTCACACCTGCCTTTTGTGTGGTCGTGGTATTTCACCTGGCGAGCCGGGCCAATTCATGCGAAGATGTTAAAGCGGGCTCTACTACTGTTAAAATACTCCAGTAAAGTGAGTACAGTATGGTTTAAAATCAAAGTATTGCATTAGTACAAACGGAAGATTATAAAAAAAATATGTTCCTCATTAGATTAACTTGGCAACAAATTGTTATAACATGTTATCCAAGTACCGGGTGAAGATAATTTTTTTTTATCAAGATACGATGTTAAAATATTGTTTTTCACTATCACTTACTAGGGCCCTACCTGGAATTTATCTTTACAATGATGTCAAGGTTTAGGTTAACATAAAAATACGAAAAACGAATTGAAACGAATGTTTCAAGGTTAAATTACTAATGTATGGGTACACCGATAGAGGTAGGCCTAGTGAGAGATATGTGGATTTATGAAAGGAGACATGATGAAGATGGTAGTAATTACTCAGATGATGGAAGATACATCGATCTCCTAGTACTTGAATTACTTTGACTTAAAGTCATATGTCCCCGTAGTGGGGCAGAGGGCGTCCACAGTGCGCCGCCAGTTCGCTCTATCTTGTATCTCCTAGTACGCCGATACGTAAGTCAAGTAAACGATGTAAGTTAAAATGCCAAGAGGGCCACTCACAAATACTACATACTGTTAGAAAGAAAATGTGGCAGTGTATTGACTCAACACTAGCCTTACTAAAATGTCTACGTTTATGTCCCCTCACTATTCTTTCTGACACTAGACTTTGTAACGAAAGCACGTCATTCGCGCCGAATTATTCTAACTTATAATGTCTAAAAATATGTGATTATACTGTTATTATTATCACTAAAATAGTACACATATTTATGCTGTACCAATCGTAGAACATCGGTTTTGAAAATGTGTGGACTCGAAACGACAATAGATCATAGGAGATTTTTTTTTTACGTATGATAAGCCAGCGCTTGACCACGATCCCACCTGGTGTTAGTGGAGATTTGGTCGAAAGATGATACGCGTTAGCTTAGTAAATGCCTATTCACTCTACTTTTGAAGGTTCCATAAGGTAGAGTGTAAAGAATAAAAGTGCTTTGTATTAAAGAGAATAAAATACCAAAGAGGTCTTCACGGTAATCATAAATATATTTAAAACATGTAAATATAATATGATTATAATTTTACGGCAAAATAATAAATGCCGAAGTTATGAGTAATATAGATAAAAAGAATATTTAACATAATCTATTTTTGGTATCAAAAATTAGTTTTAAGTAATGATAAAAAGGAACCGAATAATCTGATATCGGAATGAATCAGTTCGGACATAATTTTCTTTTACATAACGCACTAGTAATTAAATTAATTTGGATCAAATATATAATGGATCTTTTCAGGAAATCGAAAGCATTTTTATTTTTTTAGACCATTTACATAGCCCAAATTATGTCCATGGGTATTCAGACTGTACTTATCTGCGATGAAATTTGAAGTCATCCTACCCGCTGCAGCCCAGCGTGGTTAACTATGGCTTTGTCACTCCTAACGGGTAGGTTTCGAATCCCTCGATGGGGCACATCTGAGCTGACAACAAAGTGAAGGACTAGCATTTGTTTTTTAGACGTTTTTATGCGTGTGTAGTTTCGAAAGATGGTTCCTAGCCTTTATCTGGTACTAGCTGTCGCCCGCGACTCCTATGTAGTAGCCTATGTGTTCTTCCATACTGTGTTCTATATGTATGCCAAATTTCATCGGGATACGTTCTAAAGATACCCTCAAACAAACATACATCCATCTAAACATTTGCATTTATAATATTAGTAAGATAGATTACTAAGATTGCTTGATTTATAATTTTTCCTTGTAGTTTTTGACATGACAGGAAAACTAAAGAGATTTTTTTCAATTTATAATCTACACAGTTATTAACTTAGCGGAAGAACACAATAGGTGTAGCGTGGCAGCGGGATGCGTAGGGTGGGTACTACGCAGCGTACTGCCTTTAGACAGCCAAGATATTTTAAAATACTAATCTGCAATATTGTTGCACATGTTTAGACCTGTTAACTCGTGTTACCTTTTTAATACGTAAAAATTGCGATTTCAATTACACGATTCCGTACTTATATCGTTAACCTTTGATCGTCTTCAAATAATGTCACGAATCTTATCACTGTTTATCAAACGCATCACACATTTAGGTGATGATTGTAAATGATATTTTTTATAATACCAATAATTCAATCAGTAAAATAAATCACAAAGAGTATTCTAGATTGCAATCTATGTTCTAAATATTAGCCACATTTTTTTGTCTTTGTCAGGTTATAAATATATAAAAAGCGTGAATGGTTCAGGGGTCAAGCACTTGACTTGCAATCTGCAGGTCCTGGGTATTTAATCCCGCCGTTTACCAATGTGTTTTTCAATTCCGATTTACAAATGTACATGTATTCGACGTTCTTACGGTGAAGGAAAACATCGTGATGCAACCAGTTCATATCTGAGAAGACATTCAAAGATATGTGTGAAGTCAACCCGCACTGGACCAGCGTGGTTGACTGTGGCCTAATCATCCATAACTTTGGGTAGGCTCCGAGCTTTTCGGTGGGGACGTATAGTAAGCTGATGATGATGAAATATATTCACCGAAAGGCTTGGAGGCCATCACGTTATGCTGTTCGTCTTTGTAACTTTAATCATGATATATACCCGGAAGATATCACTAAGACCTGTCTTTCATCTTGGACGAAGCATTATGCCAATTTTTGGTAATTGGGAGCTCGTGAATGCCTACTGGGAAAGATTATTAACTTTGGTACTAAGCACCCTTAGGGCTTGGCAACCCTAAGTAAAAGCCACAGTCAATCACGCTGGCCCAGTGCGGATTGGTTGACTGCACACATATGTATATACAATTTCTTTTCCTTCTCCGTAAGAATTGTGATAAATTTACATGTTATTTAAGTCGAAAATCACATTAACACATGACTGGTCGAAGCTGTATTTAAAGATTTCGGTCATGTTCGGACAAGCGCATTTGGATATGCATCGTCTACCTTTAATCAACAAAGGAAGGGACCTACCGAAAGATTTTTACCCTTCCTATGCGCCCAGATCTGTTAAGGCATTCTAGAGTTATTATACATGGTAATAAACATTCATACATCCATCCAAAATGCATTAAACATATTAGTAGGATTAGCGAGATAGAGTAGAAATCAATACCAGTTTTAGATTTACTACAAAGTATTGTTAAATATTTGGCTAAAAGACTGGACCGGTTTACCAAAAATTGGCGACTTTGTTGTTTTTAGATTTAAATTAAAAGCGAACATAATCTACACACGATAATGTTAATCCTAAAGGTTTTATCGTAACGGAAATAATAATCCAAAATTACTAAATGTCTAAATGTCTACGGGTAACGGTCACTTCGCTATTTCAGCGATTTCAGGTGGCCGCTCGCTCGTTTGCCACAAGAGTATGAAAACAAGCAATATCGTTGTCAAATTAATATCTGCTTCGTTCAAAATTAAAGTATCACATCCCAATATTTAATTCCTAAAATACACTTCAAACAATCGAACCTGGAGAAGCGAGAAACCTCTATAAGTAAATGTAATTGTCCAGTTCCGACGGACGCCTTTATAAGCGTGAAACTTCGTTTAGATAGAAACTACAAGCGAGTCAAATATCACTCTTGGTTTTGTTTTAAACATATCCCAAATACATATTTCTGTTTGTTGTAATTCACCATATCCTTGTTACAAGTGAGTATTAAAATATACAGATATATTAATTTGATACGATTTAATTAAAAATCAAATAGTAATGAAAATATCTAGGTAGGTAGGCCTCCCCTCCCGCATGATGGACTGATGACCTGGTCAAGGTTGCGGGAGTGCACTGGATGCGGGCGGCACATGACCGGGCATTGTGGCAATCGATGGGGGAGGCCTACATCCAGCAGTGGATAAATTTAGGTTGATTATTATGATGATGAATAAAAATATCTTACTCGTGTTGGATTGAAATTCGTCTGCAAGGCGATGTTAGCATTACACTGTCCAAATTGTACCAATTGTGCACTGCCTAATCCTAAAATACTAAAAATTACAAATATTCTTGTAATCATATTGAGATCATACTGTATTAACCGATCACAACACTCAACAGTTCGAACTAAGGAAATGGCGATATATTTTATAAATTATCACATTTATATGAAATCTTATCATTTGATTTATCTTCTGTCAGTATTATTAACTAATCGGAATGAATTCATACAGCAAAAGAATGTAGAATCAACTTTCTATCTATATCAATATGCATTACAACTGTTTGAAACTAGAGTAGATGAGTGATCCTAATATCCAAAGTTTGTTGATAATTTCTCATGATATGATTCATGTTCTTTCCATTATTTTAAAGTCAAGATAAAGGAAATTCAATATAGAATTGTCTTCGTACTGACAGGACGTACACAGGAGCAGTTCATCTTATATTTACACTAGCTGTCGCCCGCGACTTCGTCCGCGGGGAATTAACAAGACATAATTAGTAGCCTATGTGTTCTTCCAGACTATGTTCTACGTATGTATGCCAAAATTCATAGAAATGCGTTCAGTCGTTTTCAATCCAACTAAATATGCGCATTTATAATATTAGTAAGATTGGATTCGTCAGGTCACATTCGAATCCACAAAGAGGCTAAACTACCTTAAGTTAGGAGTGATTAAGCACTTTCAAGCACACTGGCTCCGTGCAAAATAGTCGCCTACACAAATATTTGAATTTTTCCGCTATTACTATGTGCAATTTTAACAGTGTTAGAGTCGAGTTAGAGAGCTGCTGCAAGAATGGCCCGATAGACCAGTTGTGTGCCGGAGGCCAAATTCAAGTCCTCTTTCCCTTTCAACCCCTTTTTGTTTTTTGAAATATAATGCGCTGGAGACAATGTACGTGGGAAATGTGTTTCAATGCGTCATTTTCTGTGCATTAAACGCAAGCAACACAGCATTTAACATCTTGTAGATGTCTCTGTGCAGCGGTCACTTCGCTATTTTAGCGAAATGAGAAATGATTCGGCTCGTTATTTCTCATTTTGCTAAAATGGGAAATAACGAGCGATTCGTGGTCGTTTTGTGGACAGAATATTGTATACCTATTATATATCGGTGACAACGATACAGACATTGCCTAGTGTGGGCATCACTAGATTACACAAAATAACCATAAATGGTAACTTAAGTTTAATTTAATTTCTCAGCTACTAAACGTTTTAATCTTTATTATCTATAATAAAAACTTTTTCTTTTTTCTTCTTCATTGCCACCTTAAACAATAAATTGCACATTGCATCTCAATGTTTTATAATTGTACTTAATTATAAATAATAAATTTTATGTTTGTCTGTATGACTATTATTGAAGTTAACTAGGACATACAATTTATAAGAAAAATATTTATTTTTAATAAGTATTTGTATTATTTCTGCAAGTGTTAAGTAAACAGGTCGATAGTGTTTTTATCTGACGTGTTTGTTACTACACAATATTTATGTTAAGTACTATTTTTTTTATATCATAAGGTGGCAAACGAGCGAGCGGCCACCTGAAATCGCTGAAATAGCGAAGTGACCGTTGCCCATAGACATACGCAATTGCATATGCGTTGCCTTTAATCAACGGAGGAGAGGATGCACAGAAAGAAAATATTTTCCCCTTCCATGCATCCTCTCATCCGGAAAGTCCACTTCCACTTCCCATCCTTTCCTTATGAGAAAAAGACGGTAAAGTACCGCTAGATAAGAACATAAACTAATACCATAAACTTAATCCTTTCTCTGACAAGTTAAACCTATTTGTTAAACCTATTGTTAGTTTATGTACTTTGACTCTTTTCAATCGGGCGTTTTTTTTTAGTAGTGTTGTTATTTATTTCACATGATTACCAATAAATTACAATTAAGTACATGTTTAGAAAAGGTTTTATTAAAAAAAATACAAAATAAAAGTGTTTCAAATACTTTCAAAGTTGTGGTCGTTGTGACCAAAGATTTTGTTATTCTTTATTTTTTAAATAATTAAATTACAATATTCACTAATTGTAAAAAAGTGTAATCATCATCAGCTCACTATACGTCCCCACTGAGGGGCTCGGACCCTACCCTAAGTTAGGGGTGACTAGGCCATATTCAACCACGCTGGCCAAGTGCGGGTTGGATGATTTCACACATATCTTTGAATTTCTTCTCAGGTATGTGTAGGTTGCATCACGATGTTTTCCTTCATCGTAAGAACGTCCGATATATCTAAATCAGAAATCGAAAAACACATTGGTACATGGCGGGATTCGAACTCAGGACCTGCAGATCGCAAGTCAAGTGCTTGACTCCTGAGCCACTGACGCTCCGTGTGTAATTAACAGAAATAAGTGTAATATAGTGTAAAACATATAAATTTATAAAATAATAATCAATAAAATCTATTTACAAGAAAATAAGTCAATAACGCGACCGTATCCGTGTGTCATTCTGCAAAACCCTTACATTTTGAGTACACCGAAAATACGACGTAAGGCGACAACAAATAAAAATATTATATATTTCTATAGTCTATTCGATAGTCTTCATAATTTTTTTTACATGTCATTATGAACAAAGCAATAATGTTGCATAGTTGCTAAGGAAACTAGATATTTAAGATAGCGATTACCCGTGACTTAGTCCATTCAAAAATGCCAATCATCACGAGCTCACTATATTTCCCCACTAAAGAGCTCGGAACCCTAAGTTAGTGACTAGGCCATAGTCAACATGACCAAGTGCGAGTTGACTTTAACCATATCTTTGAATTTCTTCGCAGATATGTGCTAATTACATCACGATGTTTTCTTTAATCTTAAGAACGTAGGATAAATGTATGTATGTAAATCGAAAAACACATTGGTACATGTCGGGATTCGATCCCAGGACTAGCTGATGACAACTCAAGCGATTTAATTCTGTAAAAATACCAAACAAACTGTTAATACTTGGTTTAGAACAGCCATTTTAGTGCTTGTCTTTCTAATAACAAATATCTCTGTGCTATTTAAGTTTATAGGCCCACCTGTTTGGTTTTAACATTGCTACGAAAGGATTTGAACGATTAAGAATTATAATTGATAATTCGATTTAAAAATTATCAATTATAAGTCATTTTAGGTCAGCGTGATGACAAATATTAGCAATCGGCTCGAGGATTCATATTACTTACTCATAATATATAACAGGAGTGGCGCAGCGATCCGTTTCGGGCTTCCCACAACGAGAGTCTCCATTTTTCCCGATCCTGCGCAATCCCAATCCAGTCCCGAACATGTAAATAGCTTCCGAAAATCTTTAACCGCTTCATCCACCTAGCGATACTTGGGACGGCCAACTGTTCGAGGACCACTGGGTCGTCTCATGTATGCGCGTTTGACGCCCCGAACATCATCTATTCTCACTAAGTGGTTGAGTCAACGGAGTGGTTGCGCTTTTGCCTCGCTAATGATGTTGGCCTTGGCCACCAACTTCTTGATCTCAGTATTTTTCCTTATGCGCCACGATCCATCCTCATTTTGCATTGGCCATAGAGACTTACTTATACAAAATTGTTTATTCCAAATAAAAGCCAGATTCAATGCGCTTATCAATATTGTTTTCACAAATTATCAATTAGAACTCACTAGAATCGTACGAGTGGGTCGTGATAATATTTTTGTGACATCAGACGCATTCTAAATGTTGCTCAATAATTTATGTGCGACTGTCTGCATTATATTAATTATTTTTTTCTGTTTGGAAGATAATAAAGGATGAAGTCACTCAATATAAGCTTACTACAAGCAACATCCACATCTTGACGTCACATCTTACTAATATTATAAATACGAATGTTTGGATGGATGGATATTTGTTTGAAGGTATCTCCAGAACGGCTTTATGGATATCATTGAAATATGGCATAGATATAGAACCTAGAACGAACACCTAGAATACTAATTCATTTTTTAATACAGCGCTGACGTAGTCGCGGGCGGCAACTAGTAAGAAGAGGACTCAGCAGCCTTTATTTTATGTTTGTCATTATAAAATATTTATAAAACTTACCAGCCAGGTCTAATATAATCGATATGATGAAATAAAAGAAAATCGAATAGATTCATCTCGATGTCTCTGTTTCTCTGTGTCCAACGAATGTCTCGTCTACACTTTGAGCGTCCTTACGCCGACTTGTAATCGTTAGGTTAAACCCAGAAGTATTTTTTTTCATGTATCAAAAGGTGGCAAACGAGCGAGCGGCCACATGAAATCGCTGAAATAGCGAAATGCCCATAGACATACGCAATTGCATATGCGTTGCCTACCTTTAATCGACGGTGGAGAGGATGCACAGAAAGAAAATATCTTCCCTTTCCATGCATCCCCTCATCCGGAAAGTCCACTTTCACTTCCCATCTTTTCCTTATGAAGAAAAGGATGGGAAGGGAAAGAGGACTAAATTAGGCCTCCGGGACGCACACCCATCAGACGAAACGCGGAATTGCTTCCACTTGACGCCTGTCTTCTGTGTGGTCGTGGTATTTCACCGGGCGAGCCGGGCCAATTCGTGCGTAGATGTTAAAGCGGGCTCTACCACTGTTAAATTCCTATATAGTATCTACGATTTCCTTGCGTTGCGTGTATTGTATGTTCGAGCTTGTTCATATTTGTTCACAGCGTAAACGGACAATAGCAATCGAAAGTACATGGACAATAAAGAAAAAAAAAAACAAGGAATGTTGCAGCTACGTGCGTCATTCAAGCAATGACGTACATTGAAACATGTTCAACTATAAGTATCTTTGTTATTCTGTAATTGTCTCGATAGTATTGGTACGACATTTAGGATTTTTTTGTAATAAACTTGCCCTGCAACTATTCCTCTGTAAGAAGCTTTTTATATCGCAGAAGGTAATCGAGCAAGAGGCCATCTAATTATGGTATATAATTAAAGGTTGCAGATGCGTTGTCGTTTTATAGACAGGAAAACAAACGAACAGAAATTCCCCTTCCTGTCTCCACTTTCCTTATAAAAAGAGAAGCGTAATATAACTATAAATTATAAGACGGAACATATGGCTACTTCCACTTCATGCCAGTCTCTGGTGCTCGTGGTATTGCAATGCGGGTTATTCGTGATTTAAATTCAAATGAACATCAATTGAATCCTCGGAATACGTCATCTGGCTTCTCTAATGCTGTGGTACCCTTATCAATTTGTTTGTTGTAAGTTTTTTCATCCGAAAACTTTGGCGGTATTTTTATCCCGCGTACCGCCGTAATTGGCGCGGTATTTTTCCAGACTATTATTTTTAAACGCTTTCGAAAATCGTAATAGTTCTATTTTTAAAAGCCGAAGAACATCTAGCCAGTATTCGTAATTTAAAAAATAAATTAAACAGAAGTTGTGACCTGACTGGGCTGTTTTAATGTTGCGGTCAAACGTTCGTAGAACCTATTTGATAATATAAATGCCGGCGCCAAAACAGTCATCGATTAATAAAAACATACTATCAGTATTTTTGTGGAATTTTACGCAAATTATTAGCTAAATTAATAAATATTTATATTACTGTAATATTAGGAATAAATATTTAGGTCTTAATGTAACTATTAATATAACTTGCTAAAATATAACAAATTTCCATGTCGGATGAAATTTTAAAATCTAGAACAGAGGCTTTCGTTTCAAAATCTCACTGTTATTATGAAGCCTGTGTTACGAGTATTTCGTTGTTTCTTTAGCTTGTGAACCCTTACTTTTTTTCCGCCGCCATGCTCCACCGGGTCTTCAATTGACTCCAGGTGTTCAGCTGAATTACTTGAGAAATACTGGGTACCTTCTGGGTTACTGGTTTATCCCTTACTAGTTGTCGCCATCGAATCCGTTCGCGCGAAATTAAAAAAATAAATTATAAGCCTATGTGTTCTTCCAGACTATTTACATATATGACTGTATATGTATGCCAAATTTCATCGAGATTCGTTCACCCGTTCTGGATATAATTTCAAACAAACATCCATTTATCCATCCAAACATTCATATCTATATATATAAAAGAAAGTCGTGTTAGTTACACTATTTATAACTCAAGAACGGCTTTACTGATATTGTTGAAAATTGGTGAGGAGGTAGCTTAGAGCCAGGAGACGGACATAGGATACTATTTATTCGTTTTTTTAAATTATTTTTTTCGAATTTATGCCTTCAAGAGCTGCTTTTTATTTAACTTACTAATATTATAAATGCGAATGTTTAGATGAATGTAACGTTGATGGATAGATGGGTGTTTGAAGATATAGACTAAAACTGCTGTCCGGATCTCGATTAAATTTGGCATACGTATAGATCATAGTCTGAAAGAACACATAGGGTAGATTAATTAAGTTTTTTATATACCTACGCGGACGGAGTCGCGGACGCTCGTTTATAATATTAGTAAGATCAGCTAGTTTATAATATTAGTAAGATGATTCATGTCCTAGTTAATTGTTATCTGTTATAATAATATAAATTAATCACAGTTTTCGTATTATTTGCATTGTCATTGTGAAATAAATGAAATGGGTAGGGAATAAATGTCCTCGACTGTACTCTGGCGAATTTGCCTCTTATCGTCGGGATTGCATAGCGGACATTCAATTTTGTTTATAGTTATGTTGTGCTGTTTTTTTATGATTTCTCTTTAATTATAAAGATAATTTTAGTGTCACTAAACTCATTCACGAACTCTGACCTAGTAAGAGTATAAAATGCTAAGACGTGCAACATTGTTATGCAGTATTGGTTCAAATCGCACGACGTATTTTTATATTTGAAATAAGATTTTTTTTTCCAAAATGTTCCGGTTTTTGGTTATCGCTTTCTTAGCTGTTGCTGCGGCTGATGTAGTCATTGTAGATGGACCTTGCCCAGACGTAAAGCCGATGGAAAGTTTCAAGTTTTCTGATGTAAGTTATATTGATATTTTATAAACGGAATATTTTACGTTACCACTTTTCTATATTACCTGTTGCCCGTGACTCCATCCCTAAGAATTAAAAAAAAACAATAACAATGTTCTACATCTGTGCATAATTTCATCAAGATTATTGCAGCCGTTCTGGAGATATCTTCAAACATACATCCATCTAAACATTCACATCTATAATATAATTCAGATATTAACTAGGTTCAGATTTCAAAATCTTTTCTGGATTCCGAAAATGTTCAAATACGTTAAATGTCTTTCGAAAGTTTTAATAATTTAATTTCTTAATTCAGTACCAAGGTACATGGTACGAGGTCGCCAAATTCCCGAATACTGGAGAAGATGGTAAGAAAGGCAAATGTACGACCGCTGAGTACACAATTGATGGTGACAAAGGTAAAGTGAAGAACTCTCAAGTTGTGGACGGCGTCAAGTCTTACGTCGACGGTGACATCGCATTGATAGCACCTGGTAAAGTGAGAATCACCTACAAGTTTGAAGGTAAATTATAAAAGGATATTATAAATACTTACTTAGGGAAAACATTATCGTTTCTATTGATTCATATCCAGTTCAGTTCATATTCATCATATTCCAGTTCCTCTGGTGTTGCAGATGTCCATGAGTGTCCAAGGGGGAAACGAGCGGTGTTCCCACCGCTCGTTTCCCCCTTTAAAAAATCTTGCAACCTTTACATTTCTGGGATGCAATTCAAAGACGGGACGCAACTAATACGCAGTAGACCAGCGTTGTTATCACCTAGTCATCCTTAACTTAGTGCATGTTTCTAAAGAAATGTTGTGAATTACTCATCTGTAACTAATTTATTTGATAGATACGTAATTAAACCTCTTCATCATCATCAGCTCACTATACGTCTTCACCCAGGGGTCGGAGCCTACCCTGAGTTAGGGGTGACTAGGCAGATATGTGCACGCTGCATCACGATGTTTTCCTTCAGCATAAGAACGTCGGATAAATTAACATATGTAAATCGAATTTCGAAAAACACTTTAGTAAATGGCGGGATTCAAACCCAGGACCTGCAGATGGCAAGTCAAGTGCTAGTTAAAAGTAATTATAAACAGACTTAAGTATATGTATTGGTAATTCTGAAGACAATACGGACCTAGAATGATTCACGAGAAACATTAATCAGTTAATTCCGAACAAAAATGTACGTGTGTATTTTATGATAAGACATTTGATGATAAATAGAACATTCCTGTGCTTCAAGTGGACGAAGATAAAGTATAGTTATTACTTCTTTAAACAATCAAGTAGACGATTCGGTTAATCCCCGAAATTTTATACTAAGACGTGTTTTACAAGTGGTAGAGTCGTCAATAATGTATTTAGTTAGAAATTGGCGGCTCTACCGGTATGATAGGTAACACAGAAGACGGGCGTGAATAGGAAGTAATCCTGGGTTTCGTCTCAAAAGTTCCAGAGGTCTAATTTGGATTTAGCAGAGTAGGGAACGCAGAGAAAGGAAAATTACTGCATATTATTCATTGTAATTTTTCTGGTATTTTATGAACCCATGATAAATTTTCAGAATTCACCAAGAATTCGGTGCTGACTGTTCTCGACACTGACTACAAGAACTACGCTATCGGATACAGCTGCAAATTCTTAGACAAGGAAAACAAACACCAAGGTATATTATTTCTTTTTTTTTTGTAAAATAATAGCAGATTTTTGTAAATTTACTAATATTTCTTCTACCATTCCAACTAAGCTCTATGCATGTGCTAGGACACGGTATACGACAATAGTCGAATTTTGGGGACTTGAACCCCAGACCTTGTGATCTGAAATCCATGCCTTTAACCATTAGGCTAATGGCGCTTCTAATGTTTATACCCAATCATGCACAATATATATATATATATATTGTGCACTACTCCGCATTGCCAATGAGGCAATGGCATCATGGCTAATGGACCAATTTCACTGGTCGAAATTTCGTACTCAAATAATTTGCTTTTAATTTTTTATCAGTCAAGACCTGCTTCTCTATCGGAATTTTAAAATTGACAAAATAATAAAGCCTGTTGACACACGAGATAAGATCACGTTGAATCAAACGTGTTATTTTATCTGTACACGAGCTCATATTCTTTTAGAAATATAATACTGTAATATGATTTAGAACAGATATGATTAAACATTTTATCGTCTGTGATTTGATAACGTATTGAAGCGAACTTGCGTTCTGTTTTACTTTGTAGCCTTATTTAAATTTTAAACTATCGATTAATGATAAACGCCAATTTACTATAATCTATGATTCTATATATGCATTGTTTCTAATACCTACTTTTGTTGATAAGCAATTTTTTCACTTCTTGGTATTTATAATTAGCTGAGATGTCACATATAACTGCCTATTTCCCTTCTTATCCCTCACTGCACTCTTTCATCTAAATCTTCGTCAACTTAGGAATTACCAATTTACTCTTCTTGGAGTTACTTCCAGATCTCCAAGCTTAGCTTCCTGCAACTTCACGGCTAGCGCATATGTTACGTGTTTTTTCTTCTCATGTAAATTCTTTAATGCTTTTTATTCTGATTTTACTGGATCTCTTGCTACAGGTCGCCAAATTTTCTTATAATTGCATATCTAGTTTAATAATAATGTTATTACGTGAGTCATCTTCTGCAATGCCAGCTTAAAAAAGTTAATAATTTTATTACAGTGTTCTCCTGGATTTTGTCAAGAACCAAGAGCTTGGGTGACTCTCAGGCTAAAGTGGACGCCTTCTTGGCCAACTTCCCTGCTATTGATAAGTCTAACTACGTCTTCAACGACTTCTCTGAAGAAACATGCAAGTTCACCTCAACTAAAGCCATCACCAGCATCCGCAAGAAGAACTAAATCGATTATTTTTAAATGTTTTTTATCGATATTCGTAAAATGTAGAACATTACTAGACATTTTATCGAATTATTTGATTGATATCAGCTCATGTTTATGATAAACTGTTCTTCCTAGTTTTAGCTCCGTAGTAAGACATGTGTCTATATTAGTATGTAGTTATTTTCTCCTTATACATTCTCAGTGTAAAAAGAAAATAAAAAGTTTATTCAACAGATTTTATTCTTTCATTCACGTGTTAGATATGCCTTATGCTTTTGTACTCAGGTCGTTTATGTTTCTTTGATAGTAAAATCTATTTAAAAAAATCAAATAAGCCTATGTTACTGTCGCGTACATCAGTTACCGTTAACTAAAAGTCCCCTTAATATCGGTGCAACGGTTACACAAATCAAACACTGATTTGCGGACAGAGAAACTTTTCCTATAAGAAAAGGGTGGGAAGAAAAAGGGGACTAAAGTTAGTTCTCTGGCTCATCAGATGAAACGCTTAATTTCTTACACTTCACGTCTGTAAACATTAATAAAATAAGATAAACACTTTATTGCTTCCATTAAAATAGTATAGTTAAGTGACTAAAATTAAACTTCTAACCTAAATGTGGGAAAGGACAACCTTCTATTCTATAGAAAGAAGTGTTTTTTTTAGAAAATCCTGTGGGTCAGGAGAACCAAAACTTGTTTAATAAGCAACTGTTTTATAGTTAAATTTTGTTTGTGCAGTTAGATTCTTTTTAACTGAATATGAAATCTTACTAATATTATAAATGCGAATGTTTAGATGGAAGGGTGTTCGTTTGAAGGTATCTCCAGAACCGCTAAATGAATCTTGATGAAATTTGGCATAAATGTAGAAAACAGTCTGGAAGAACACATAGAATACTAAACAAGGTTTATTTTCTTAACCAGTCAGTAAAGACAGTTCTATTTCTGTGGATTAATATTTCTTTTAGATATCACTCTTCAATTACTATCGTCAAAATGACGAGGATCAACCTGATATATAAATGTCTTTTTGTACGATAAGCGGATAATCTACTCATAAGATACTACTCGTAATGTTGGCGTGCACCGATGACATAACAAGTTTTGAACCCCCGCTAGAATGATTCATTTTAAGAGATCAAGGCGTGAAGTGGAAGTAATTCCGCGTTTCGTTTGATGAGTGCGTGCTAGAGGCGTAACGTTAGTCGTCTTTCCGTTCCCATCCTTTTATTATTAGGTATGTGAAGGGGTAGTGGATTTGATTTCTGCATTCCGCATAGGAAGGGAGAATATTCTTTTTCTGTGCATCCTCTCCTCCGTCGATTCAAGGTTGGCAAGGCATGTGTAATTGCGCTATGTTTATTGGCATTGGTTGCTTCGCTATTTCGAATCAGCGATTTAGGTGACAACTAGCTCATTTGTTACTTAATAATATAATAAATGCATTCACTTTAAAACATTTTATTACTGTTTCTTTTGACAATTAATCAGCGTATATTAAATTATCCACTTTGCTTAATATATTCTATTTATTGACGGTTAAAGTGATAATTTCTGATACGTATCATTCATGAATCATCAAATAAAGTGTGCATGCATTTTATTTTAATTTTTAGTCAAATAAAATTGATGAATTTTGAAAATGAATTGGTATTAGTTGTTCTTTCCTACAAAAGGCTGGGTATCTCTTGAAGTTTCCTTTACGCTATCAAAGACAAAGTTTTATTAAATATTTTTATTAACAAATCAACTTCGATGACCTTACATTGACCTCTTTTAATGGAATTTTTCGTTTATTTTTAGAATTCAAAAATTAATCGAAAAAATTATCAAAATGTTGATCAGGATTGATCAATATCTTGTCGACATTGAAAACCTTAAAATGTATTTATAGTGACTAGTTCTTTTACATTTCCTGTATAATTTGAAATCAATGACTTTACTTTCCTTTTTGAACCTTCGCTTACGCACAGTTCGGAAATAAAGGAAATATTCTCACGCCTCAAAACTGGATCTATAGTATGTATGAGAAAGAATTTTTTTATATCGTCTTTCCAATTTCCCTCCCTACCATAGTAAGAACTCTTTTAGAATTATTTTATCTATCAAATTGTAACTTAATTTCATAGTCTTACTAATATCATAAAAGGGAATGTATCTCCGAAACGGCTCAACGGATCTTAATGAAATTTGCCATAGATGTATGACAGGACTATGTCCTTCATAGTCTGGAAGAACAAATATAGGCTGCTTATTCAATTTTTTTTAATATCGCGAGAACGGAGTCGAGGGCGACAGCTGGTTTATAAAATAAAGTTATACAGGATGCCTACAAACATTAATACTTATTTAAATAAACATATATATATATAAGTATACCCAAATAAATTTAACTCAAATAAAACCAAAACCTAAAAACAGAAGACGATATGATAGTTGAAGACAACTGAAGTGTTTGCTAAAACAAAATAAGAATTTTTCATGAGATAAGATAAAAGATTAGATCGAAAATATTGAATCATCCATCAAACAATTTAGTTTGAACACGTAACAAAAAAGATTCCTTGAAGAGGTATCGATAGTTCACAAAGGTCAGTGCACTGTCCATAATTTAAGCGGCAACTCCGACTGCATAACTGTCCCAGCGCCAAATTTAATCGTTGCAACCTTGATGGCTGGCATTCCTTCGACGATTCGCATAACTTTTTACCGCACATAGCCGCGTTTTGGAATACTCTGTCTTCAGCGGTAATTCCAAACAGTTATGACTTCATCACCATCAGCTTACTATACGTCACCACCGAGGTGCTCGAAGCCTACCCTAAGTTAGGGGTGACTAGGCCGTAGTCAACCACGCTGGGCCAGTACGAATTGGTTGACTTCACATATATCTTTTGAATTTCTTCTCAGATATGTGCAGGTTGCATCACGTTGTTTTCCTTCACCGTAAGAACGTCGGATAAATGTACATATGAAATTGAAAATCGAAAAACACATTGGTGCATGGCGGGATTCGAACTCAGGACCTGCGGATTACAAGTCAAGTGCTTAAACCCCTGAGCCAACAACGCAGGTTACGACTTAGGGTCCTTCAAATCGGCATACATACATAATGTCCATGGGCGTCAGATAAATTAGTTTTAAACGATATGCTGCTCGTTTGATTCCTTATCCTAAAAAAAACTGTAGTCCGTTAATGACGGACGTCATACGTCGTCTTCGTTCGTGTAATGAACTAACGGTTGCCTGATACTTCTTTAATTGTGGCTTATAATTATGATCATCATCATCATCATCAGCTCACTATACGTCCCCACCGAGGGGCTCGGAGCCTACCCTAAGTTAATGGTGATGAGATTATGATCATAGGGAGGTTTAATTGTTCTTTATAGTAACGTATACAAAATTACAGTTAATCTTACAACTTTATCTGCACTAAAAATAGATTTGCGCTTAAGTCTAAATTTATCTCAAGAGAATGTAATTTTAAGGGTCGCAATGTAACCTTGTTTAAATTTGTTAGTTCGCAGTATTGACGCTCCGAACTTTAAATCACTACTCCGTTAACTGTTATGTTGTGATTGTGTGTTTGTGACTTTAATTTATACCAAGAATTTCACTAGCATAGTGCTTAATAAGAATCAATTGCTTCATCTTTAGGTTAAGGGCGTGTCGTTTATATTTTATCAAAAACAAAATAAAGTATTGTTTTAAAAAAATCTAATAATACTAACTCAATTTAAATGTGTACGTTGAGTTTAAATATTTATTTTTTAATGCTGAAATTGCTTAAAAAATAACCTTAACGCTTTTTGATTTTATTGCTGGCAGCTTACTGCGTTTGGAAGCTTTATTTTTTAAAAAGTTTTTTCGTTAGCTTTAATTGCTTTTGCTACATATTTAAGCTATTTTTAAAGTGACTTCGCTAATCAGATGAAAGTTGGAAATATTTTTGATTGGTATGTCCGTCTCCTCATAGCTCTACTATAAGACTGGCGCTGGTGTAGCAATGGAGTGATTGGTGTTAGGATAGGAACTTCGATCTTTAGTGTCCCTCTTTTGAAGTGTACCTAAATCATACGAACTGTTTAATGAAATAAAAGTGGTAGATTCCAAGGATGTGATCGTTTAACATTATATACAGTTAATTAGAAGGGTTGTCTGTACGTATTATCCAAAAATTGTCGTATTTCACGGACATGTTGCATTTGCGTAGCTTGAAACGAAAAACCAATTTTTTCATTTTTTTTTGTCTGTCTCCCCAAGTCCGCGTTTGTTACGGATAATCTACGAAACAGCTGATGTATGCTGGAGTATATATAAGTAATTTTTTTCTTTTTTTTTAATTCGTCACAGCAAGCAACATCAATAAATTGTAGCGCCGTTTTTGTTTTTATATTTTGGCTGCTATTTAACAAAAGCTTGTTATTTAAAAGTTGAATTCCTTACCTGACTGGCTTATTATAAGTTATTGAAAGTGAGTTTCCACTGCCGAAACATGTATACATATTGCCATCTCCCTCATATTCATAAAATAAAAGAAAGATAGAGAGAAGAAATAAGTAAAAATGCAGAAAACAATTAACCTCGATCGAATTAATCAACGACTTATCGTTTTTATTGTTTTCTCTTGTTTTTTTTTGAAAATTATTTTTTTAAGAACATAATTTAGCTTGGATTCCGTATAATATGAATAATTTATATAATAATAATAATTATGTTTTTTCTTTTGCGGTGACGCGAAATACCACATCTTTCAAAATCGGCTATACTATTATAAATATATTTGCTTGTTTCATTTGGCAAAAATTCCAAAACTACGGAACCAATTTGAATATGTAAGAAAGGGTACAACCGCGTTGTGGAATACCCTGTCTTCAGCGGTATTTCTAAACAGTTACGACTTAGGGGCCTTCAAGAATAGAGCTGAAACCTTCCTTAAATCCCGGCAACGCATCTGCGGTTCCTCTGGCGTTGCGGATGTCCATGGGCGTCGGATCAAATCTTAGGCGACTCGTTGCCCCTTTGCCCCCTTCTCCTACAAATATCTGACTTCTATTTGTCTATTAAGTATATAGAAATTAATATCTATGCTTGTTTATTTGTTCCCCAAACCAATAAATATATTGTGAATAAAATTTGGGAGCTTCTAAGTATGCCAGAGAAGGTTTGCGTCAAAATGAATTTTAATAAAATTTTATTTGGTCTGTAATTTTTGATATTATTATTATTTAGACAATTGGATTTAATGGAAAATTATTGTGTTATTGTATTTTTTAATTGTCACAATTGTGTAATGACGTCCATTGGCTTGTTTTTATTGTTATTTATTTTATTTATAACGGAAATATAAACCAAATGTAGAACTGAAGGTTTTTATTGTTAAACCACTTGTATAAAAACATATCAAAGGTAGGAAACTCATCTGCAGTTCCTCTGGTGTTGTGAATGTTCATGGGTGTCGTTGATCACATCACCGCTCATTTGACCCCTTCTCTTAAAAAAGTATTAAATATTGCTATCCCTTACTATCTCTTTGAAAAGCATTATCTTCCTATCTTTTTCTCTTCGTAGTTCGTAATGTTGGTACACTTTGTACTACTTCTTTATTCATCTCTATCAACCGTCATAGTTGCTTTCTTTCCCTTCTTACACATATCCTCTTTCATACAATCCATACATACTTTCTTTTGTCTTCCTCTACTTTTGTAGTCAACATCCAATCTCATTAATGTCTTGTCGGTTCACGTTTGTGTATAAATGTTCTAATTATTACAGTCTAGTATTTTCTAGCGTCGGTGGCTGGGGGGTTTAGCACTTGAATTGCAATCTGCAGGTCCTGGGTTTAAATCCCGCCATGTACCAATGTGTTTTTCGATTTCCGATTTACATATGCACATTTATCCGACGTTCTTACGGTGAAGGAAAACATCGTGATGCAACCTGCACATATCTGAGAAGAAATTCAATGATATATGTGAAGTCTACCAACACGCACTTGGCCAGCTTGGTTGACTATAGCCTAATTACCCTAACTTGGGGTAGGCTCCGAGACGATTGGTGTGGACGTATAGTGAGCTGATGATGTGTCTAAAATTTAGTGCTATGTTTACTACTAACATTAAAGTTTTCAGTGTTTAATAACTGCCCAATTATTATTTGTCTAGAATTTAAATAAAAACGTAAAACAATTAAAACATATTAAGTCGTCTATTTCCGTATTTTTCGTTATATAAAAGAGAAAAAAAAGTCGATTGTTTAACTTTTCAAAATACTGTGCAATAACAATTGTATTATACATTTTAAAAAGAAGGTAATCAAGAAATATGAGCATAAGAAATTGAGTTTTAAACCCATAGACAGTAAATTTAAAATGCCTAGAGGTGTTTTAGAAAATTGAAAAAAGAAAAAATGCCCTCCATTTAAGAATAATGGGTATATATTCTGTGAGATGTATCGAATGAGACAGAGCTAATTGTGGTCTAAGATACAGATAGTGTCTGAAAATGCATTGTTTGTTCGTATTTGCTTTGATCGCAGCTGCGACTGCTGACGTCATTTATAAAGGACCCTGCCCTAACATCCAGCCTAAAGCAGACTTTGACTTCTCTGCTGTAAGTGTACTATACTATTTTAGATTTAATTTACGTGCACATATCTCTATGATATGGTTTATTTTCTGTCATTAAAATGTCAAATTGGTGCTGCATTTTGACCCTGTTTCGAATCTAAATAGGACGTACCAAAGAGAAATCATCGTTTAAAGAATCGTGAACTAACTGAAGAGAAGATACGAGTAAGTGGTTAAAATTCAAATCTTATTACCAAAGAATTAGGTTTGAATTTAAATAACTTGCTTGTGTAAAATAGTTGTATTGTATGCATAAATGTGTTGTTTGTCTCGAGCGTACACGTCATAAGTACAAGACGGAGAGAGGGGACGTCAGTCGATGTTAGACCTTTGGACCGGCAGCTTGTGTCGATACGTGAACGAGCCAAATATAACGCAATGAATGCTACAACTATATTTGGATCTAAAGTTTCCGTAGCATATTGGAGCAATATTTTGTACAAGATTTCTAAAACATATTTGTTTCTTTTTAGTACCAAGGAACATGGTACGAAATGGCTCGTTACCCTCACGCCGGCGAAGAAGGTGTTAAGGGCAAATGTACGCTCATCGAATACTACATGTTTGGGAATAACAGCGGCAGAGTAAAAAAAAGCCACGTTGTGGATAACATACAGAAATATGTCGAAGGAAATTTGATGTTAGCTGGACCTGCTACCATGATGACCACATTAACTTTTGGAGGTAAGGTTTTCCTTAATACCCTCATAAGAAAACTGGAAGTAATGAAGAAATCAATTTTAAACTATGAAATCAATATCTGTATAAATCTTAAACACACATAGAAAATAATATAATATTGGAGGCGTGTAAAAGGATAAAGAGCCTTTCCTTTTTGTTTCTTGAAAACTTCATATTAATGTGAATGCCTACAAAGGTGGAGGAAGACCAAAGAAAGTATGCATGGATTGTGAGAAAGAGGATATGCGTAGGAAGGGGGTAGATTCAGATATGATGCTTGATAGAGATGTATGGAGGTATGTAGTTATTAATAAGATTAAATAATTTTATTTAATTTTAGGTGTGTCAAAGAACGCATACATCACCGTACTTGACACTGATTACTCGAACTATGCTATAGCATACAGTTGCCGATACTTCCCTGATGGCAACAAACATCAAGGTTGGTTCAAATGTCTAATTTTTTAGCTTATTTTTTAATACTTGTCTACGATCTTGGAGATTAGATTAACAAAGTGTAGTTGTTTCTCATAAAGTTTTTGGATATCTTCTTGAAAATTGAACTTTTTGCACCTCTTTCAAATTACGCACAGCGGGAGAAGGAGCCTGATTACGAGAAGAACCTACTTGAATGTCACGAAGTTTTGACCATTTTGTTAGCAAATTTTCACAGTTAGGATTCTTTATTCAAGAGTGTAGCGTTGCATGTTTAAAATTTCCCAAGTTTATACAAAATATATATCAAAATACAACATCTTATTCTTGAGATTTCATCCTTTTAAAGACAATTTAATTCCTAAACTGAAATTTGCCCATCCTTTACGTGGGCAGAGAAAATTATGCAGGTAAAATGTTCCAATCTTTTGATAATTTTTGTAAATAACTATTACGATTTTTGTTTTAGTGCGGTCATGGATTATGTCAAGAACTACCACACTGGACGAGAACTCAAGGGCCATGGTTGATAGTTACTTGAACGATTCTAGAATACTCGATACCAACAAATACATGGGCAACGATTATTCACCAGCGGCCTGCCAGGCGTCTCTTGTCAAATCAATTACTGATTTACAGCCTCAATATTATTGACACGCTCAAAACATAGAGTGAAATGTTATCGCAATGTAAATACTTAATAAATTTCAAAAAATCTTAAAAGTTTTTCTTATTGACAACTAACTAGACTTTAATAGCAATAAAATCGTTTAAGCTCTCGTCAGACATTAATATAAACAATATCTGGTCTTAAATTAGTTTTGCAAAAAGTATAGAAATATAAACATGGTTAACATAAGCTATTGTTATCGTGGAATAAAAAAAGATGATGAAGACAGACACATAAATGAAATTGTTTCCGGGATGCATTCCTTTTCTTCTCAATTTTTTTTTTTTTTTGTGACTGAGTAGTCACTGTTTGCCTTGAGGAGGCATTTACAGTTTCACCGGGCTTGAGGTGGCCGAGCGCAGATGGCGCTTAGCCTGAACCTCGTTTATGAGTAACAAGACTCGAGGGCTCCCTCAGGAGCCTCGGCTCGGGCTGTTACTTCATTATAGTTACCGGGTTGGGAGGTCACCGAGCTCTTAGATCGCTTAGGTGGACGCTCCATGGAGTGACTGGTCTCAAGGGCCCCCGAGAGGGGACCTCGGCTTGGGCTGTCACTCATTACGCGTTTAGCATTCCGATTCAAGGGTGCCCGAGAGGGCCGAACCTCGGCTTGATCGGTTGCTATTATCTGATTGCTATTAATACATCTAACATTACTACCACTTCGGAAAGCGTTATCGCTGGGAGAAGAAGTGGCGGAAGAAACTCCAGCAACGCTTCTATTATTAATAGGAGAAAATCTACCTGCTATGAGGCCGTATCGCGAGAATGATTGCCGCAGCCGACAGCGACTGCGGCGTGTGGTCTGTCTGTGTTGTTTTACCTTAGCTTGAGCGATAGTAATTGGATCGTCTTGAAAGTCAAGTACGATTCTAGGTCTACGATGATCCCGACGGAATTTACCGAGCGCGATTGGATTGTAAGTGGCGGCACTTACAACTAGTGGATTAGGATGGCCGACGGCAGAGTCAAAATAACGACGCGACGCTAACTTCAGGTGTTGGGCGATGGTGGGCAAGTCCAAGTCTATATGAAGATCACTATTGCGCATGTACCACGGGGCTCCCGTGGCTCTACGCAAGAATCTATTCTGAATCGCCTGAAGTCGGTGTATTTGTTTCGGAGCTATGTGCGCGAATACCGGACTAGTTCTTCTCAAACAAGGCATTACTGGTAATATTACCTTTTCGATATCGCTAATATACAGCGTAGCAAGAGTGAAAGGTACAGAAGCGTAAAAGACATCCGCGTACTTGCGCAGTCAAATAGCGACTGACAACGAAAGAAGGCAATGGATAGATAATTGCCTTCTTTTGGTGACTCCAATTTTTTGGTGGCTTACTTTACCTTGAAACGCTATTTGCACTGGAAGGTCATTAAACATTTCGGTAGTCTGTTTTGCAGTCCAGTATGCAGCAATTGCACTCCGGTTACCTACAGTGAACCTACAGTGACCTCATCGCATTTACCCCGGTTGTGAGGGGTTTGCGAAATAAATTTACTTTCTATTGGGGGTCGCAAAATCAAATGTTTGACCAGTTTTTTTACAGATTCACAATTTTCGATCAAATTTTCAGTTCAGTTTATCGGTATCTATTCAGCATTTGAAATATTGTAGGTGTCTACTAGCTGCCGCCCGCGACTTCGTCAGCGCGAAATAAAAAAATACTTAATAAGTAGCCTATGCATTCTTCCAGACTATGTTCTACATATATGCCAAATTTCAGCTAGATGCGTTCAGCCGTTCCAGAGATTCTTCAAACATCCATCGATATAAATAATCGCATTTATAATATTAGTAAGATTAGTAAAAAGCAAGGTGTATCGTGCGGGGTTTCAATATTTGAAAAAAAAAATATAAAAGAAGCTTTCTGAAGTATTTAAATCGTTTATTATGTTTATCAAATTATTTTTATCGTCGTTTGAAATGGCATGCCACACGGACGATGCGGCGCCAAAACGCAGCAGCGCCGCGCGTAGCTCCTCCTGTGTGACATCTCTCTAATTTGTTCATATCTAAGGTCATTCACATAGAAGGAGATTTAAATTTTCTAAGAAATTATAATGTAAATAGTATTCGTAGTTTTAAGACGAAAAACCTTAACAATGGAAATAGTACTTACAGTAATTTTAAGGTGTTTAATTCAGGTTTGGAGTTAAAAAGTATTAAACTCTTGATGAAAATTTGGCCATATTTTAAAATCAAGTATTTTTATTATTGTTTCATATTAAAAATAGATTACTGCATTTCTTCTTACCTTTAACTGAGTTTAAAATTTCAAAAATAAATTTAAATTTTACAAACTTAAAGCATTTTTTAAACTTCGTTATTTGCAATAAATATTAGTTAACTGACTATAATTTTATATAAAAATTATGTGTTTATAATTTCTTTCAGTTCACAATATTTTAAAAAAATATTTAATTTGTCTTATAAAATTGTTGAGGACAAAATGAAACATTCTGCCAAAAAGGTGGCATAATGTTCAGTTAACCTTTGCCTTTTTTAATTATATTAAAAAGTTGTAAGCCAGAGATAATCGCGCGGGAACAACGGAATTTAGTCGCGAATAGTTATTAAAAGAATTATTAATTTAAATATTGAATATAGCTTAAATATAATCATGTATGAAATAAATAAACGCATTTTGGCTGCCGTGTTATCATTTACATAAACATATTAAAGACTCGTAAAGGTATTTATAATAAAAATAATCAATTCCTTATTTAATTATTTTATTTATTTCATTATAACAATAATTATTTTTTTATTCTTTAAGGAATTCAGTAATTTGTCGCACGACGCCTGCCTGGCATGCGGCAGGTGAGAAGTCGTTGGCGATGTACTTGTCGGAGTCAAGGATGGTTGATTCCTTCAGATAGGCATCGACAATGGCCCTAGAGTAAGCGTCTAGGGTGGGGCTTCTAGACTTGATCCAAGAGAACACTAGAACAAAAACACTTAGTTAATAAACATATTCGTATCATCTGAAATTGTTCCGATAAAATACTTAAAAATATAAAAATTATAATAAAATTCAAGTGCCGAGAAAACGACGGTTTGGCTATGCTCTCTTATGTTGTCCCTACAGTGGGTCTAGCATGAAAGTTTGTGACAATCGCCATCGTATCGTCATATCAAAGTATTAAAATTTATGTAGCGCCCCCAACGGGCGTTATGTACACTAAAAACCTCATACTAATTTTTACATAATTGACAATAAGTCGCTTGTCACAAATATTACTATGCCTATAAATATTTCTCATTGATAGGTATTTAAGGGATTTCTAGACTTAAAACTCCCAATCATAAGTAATAATCCAAAGGGACTGTTAAAAGATCGTCTGAATACAAAAATCAGTTTTCGTTTTATAATTAACCACTATATTATCTTAAAATGTAGGACTGTTCTATTTTTAAATTGCTATAAATTATAAAGTAAAATCCTCTTGAAGCGGGTCACCCTTATTGACCATGACCAGTCTGAAAAGACTACAGTGACAAAGAAGAGAGATAAATCTTAAATTCTAATAAGATTTTTGTGACTGAATTTCCACTGTTTGCTTTGAAGAGGCATTTACAGCTTGAGCTTGAGGTGGCCGAGCGCAGATGGCACTTAGCCTAAATCTCGTTTAAGAGTAACTAAGCTCGAGGGCGCCCTCAGGAGTCTCGGCTCGGGCCGTCACTTCGTTATTATTACCGGATTGGGATGCCGCAGAGTTCTTAGGTCGCTTCGGTGGACGCTCAATGGAGTTTCTAATATGAAAAATAGAGGAACATTTAATATAAAACATTACCTTGATGGTTGTTGCCGTCGGGGAAATATTTGCAGCTGTATCCAATAGCGTAATTCTGATAATCAGTATCCAGTACAGTGAGATAAGAATATTTGGATTTTCCTGAAATGTTATAATAAAATTAGTATTTATTAAATATCTGGAATTTTAAAAGTTATTTATTATTTATTGATATAAATAAAAAGGTCGGTCATCGGTCTGTTTATAATTAATGTTCATAATAAAATTCACAGTAAAGGTCGTCAACTGTAAATTTAAAATGTACTATGAAATATATTGTCATCCTTCTCACTCACTGTAAAATAACAGTGACAACTATATATACAAATACGTCGGTAGAAGTGTACAGTTTTCTTGAATTAAGTTATTTTAAGCTTCAAGAGTTATAATTATAGAAAAATACGTAAATACATAACATGCCCTGCGTGTTTTGTCTTTAAATATTTAATAATTAATGTTGAATGGACAAATATGGATGGATACATGATAAATGTATGTAACCGTAGGCTTCTGAAACCAAAAATTTCTATAAATAACAAACTGCCACCCATCATCTTTGACATAAATTTGATATCAGAAACCCACGATATATCTTTTAGGATCATGGACTATTGTGGTCGGTTGCAGTTTATAATCTGTTCGTTAGAGATTCGATCTGTAACCATCTATAATTTATCTACATTTAACTGCATTGTTATCTCTGATTGTTAAACATAATAACAGGGATAATGATATGTTTTAAACAAAGATTTCTGTCTCAGAAACCTACGAATAAAGATCTTAATAGTTAACGATAAACATGATCTTTTGGTTAAACTGCAATCGATTATTTTTTGCATAAATTAGAAGTAACTTTGAAGCCAATAGCCTAATGATTAAGGGTACGTTTTTCCCATCACGTGGCCAAGAGTTTGAATCCCGCCATGTGACTATTGTCGTAAAACTAGCACAAGCCTAGAAATATAAGTAAATTAACAAAAACATGGTAACATTTTATAAAAAGAAACTATTTAAAAGTAACGGAAATAATTTCTTCATAGCTAAAATATTGATTACAGTGTTGAATCTATAGCTTTATATTCAAATAAAAGGCAAAATACTTCAATAATATTACCTCCAAAAGTATACGTAAGCCTAATTTGTGCTGGTCCAACGAGATCTAAATCTCCATCTATGAAGGATTGTATTCCATCAACTACATGACTGTTTCTAACTTTGCCGCTATCTCCAAAGACTGTGTATGCAGCCACGGTGCATTTGCCTCTTGTTCCTTCTTCACCAGCGTTGGGGTAACGAGCTATCTCATACCAGGATCCTTGATACTGCAATGAATAAATTGCAAGTTTGAGTTAAGTCTTCTTGTTCTCTACTATTTTATTACTAGCTGTCGCCTAAGAGACCATCCGCGCGGTATTAAACTTAATAAGTAGCCTATGTGTTCTTCCAGACTACGTTCTACATATAAGCAAAACTTCAGCGAGATTTGTTGAGCCGTTCTGGAGATATCTTCACACAAACATCCATCTAAACATTTATAATATTAGTAAGAAGTAAGATTGATTAATTTTAAATCCAGAAACAATTACCGATCAAGAACTACTACATTCTTTATATACTTTTGGTAGTATTCAGACTATGTAATAAATATCATCATCATCAGCTCACTATAAGTCCCCACCGAGGGGCTCGAAGCCTACCCTAAGTTAGGGGTGATTAGGCAATAGTCAACCACGCTGGCCAACTGCGGGTTGGTTGACTTCACACATATCTTTGAATTTCGTCTCAGATATGTGTAGGTTGCATAGCAATGTTTTCCTTCATCGTAAGAACGTCAGATAAATGTACATATGTAAATCCTAAATCGAAAAACACATTGGTACACGGCGGGATTCGAACCCAGGACCTGTAGATTATAAATCAAGTGTTGAACTCAACTCAAGTGTAATAACTATACTACTAATGATTAAACTTACAGCAGAGAAATCAAAGTTTTCTTTAGGCTTCACAGTTGGGCAGGGTCCGTCGAAGATGACATCAGCAGATACAACTGCCATCAAAGCGAATAGACACAGTCGATGCATATTTGTATGTAAGCAACTTGCAACTAGGACGTACTAGTAATCTCTGTCTTACTAAAATGATTTCGCTCAATATATACCAATTACTCTTGCGTTGAAGGCCGTTTCATTTTGTATTAATATTCAAAATAACCCTTGGTTTTCTGTTAATATTTTTTGCATTTATTTTTTCTATATCGTCAGTGGTTTTTTTTTAAAAATATTTTTTGATTTTTAAATCAATATTAACATTTAGGTTTGATTTTACATTTTTTACTTTTAATTATTTAAATATTTAGAATTAGTATGGCTATACAAAGGGGGAACGCTGCCAGTATCTTCGGAACCTAAAGGGACTCCTTTTAATAATATATTTTAGTTAATTATTCGTTATTAATAATTTATTTAATTTAATAGATTTAAGACAGTTCATGTAAAATATGCAAATAGTGCACTGGATGCGGGTGGTACAGGACCGGACATTGTGGCAATCGATAGGGGAGGCCTACATCCAGCATTGGATAAATCTAGGTTGATTATGATGATGATGATGATGATGATGATGTAAAATATATAAATTTATATTAATACTTAGATAATCAAGGTTTATAATTATATTTAAAGTCATAATTATTACAAGAATTTTGCCAAAACTTAATATTTGAAAGGCATTTTTGTAAGGATATTGTGTCGTCTTCCTTAAGTTGACAAACAAAAGCTAGGTGTTATACCATAATAAAGAAACTAGATTAAGATCTTTATTAAGATTAAGAAAATAAAATGAGAAAAATCAAGTTTATTTATCATAGGTCCTAACTATGACCTAATGCCTAATGACTATGGCCTAATCACCCTCAACTTAGGGTTGGCTCCGTGCCCCTCGGTGGGGACGTATAGTGAGCTGATGATGATGTTGATAGGTCCTAACAACGACACGCGCCTCCGCAACCTCGATAGAATCTGTCGAAATTTGTGTAAGATTTATTGTACTTTACGCCATGTACAGTACGAATATGAATACAAATTATGTCGAACTTCGCGAAAACATTCACACGATTATTCATGCTAGGCCCCATAAATAGCTGAAAACTGCGTTGCAATGTTAAAATAACATGAAAAGTTTTCATTATTAAAGTAAGGACCAATTAGGAGAATATTGTCATCAAAAAACGTAGTTTCATTTAAGATAAAAACAATGTTTACTTATCTTACTAATATTACAAATGCGAATATTTCTTTTTGTCTTGTAATTGTCGTGCCAATTTCATACATTTTTGAAGTTCGTTATAGACTCGCTTCGGAGCGAATGCATTTTGTCTAACCCCTATTATGTAGTCTATTTTTTCGAAATTCGAATATGAAGTCATATTTTTATATAAAAATAATTTAACCCTTATTGTGACAAGATTTCTTTTTTGAAGAAAAGCAAAAAAAAAGTTATGAATTATCGTATATTTTTATAAAGTTGTATGTATGGTATACTATACAAAATGAACATAAGGATTAATGCACTTTTTATCTACATAAATCGTATCAAATCTCACGTACTAATAAAACGAATTACATAATTATAACATTTAAAAACAATGTATACAAAAAGTTTCTATATAAGATTTTAATTATGCCAAACAGCTAAGCATTATTTAGGCCTTGAAAGTAAAATCAAATAGTTATATTAGCACTATTTATCAATCGCAGAACACTAATTTGAATCTGTGAGTAATTTGTGTCCTTTTTTTTTAAAGCTTAATATAATTGCATACATTATTTTGTTATGTATACCTTGACTTTACTAACTCCATTCAACTACTACAATTATTTTAATTATTTGTTTATCTATTATAAAAATAAAATCATACACTTGGAACTACACAGAAGACAGGCGTCAAGTGGAAGCTATTCCGCGTTTCGTCTGATGAGTGTGCATCCCGGAGGCCTAATTTAGTCCTCTTTCCCTTCCCATCCTTTTTCTTATAAGGAAACAATGGGAAGTGGAAGTGGACTTTCCGGATGAGAGGATGCATGGTAAGGGAAAATATTTTTCTGTGCATCCTCTCCTCCGACGATTAAAGGTAGGACACATATGTATTTGCGTATGTCTATGGGCAACGGTCACTTCGCTATTTCAGTGATTTCAGGTCGCTCGTTTGCCACCTTGTGATATATAAAAAAAAACATGATGCCAACCACCTACTGGATCCAATCTTAAATCTAGGCGTATACTGAACTCACTAAATAGATCAAGATTCATTCGAAAACTTTGAAATCTTACTAATATTATAAATGCGAATGTTTGAATGGATGGATGTTTATTAGAAGGTATCTCTAAAAGGTCTGCTTGAATAAGAACATAGGCTACTAATTAAGTTTATTTTTAATTCCGCATAAACGGAGTCGCGGGAGACAGCTAGTTTGACTATAAATATTACTGGATTCAGTCTCAGCATAATTATTTTAAATTAACCTTAATTTTCTGCTTATATGTACTAATACAATAAAGAGCAAATATTTGATCCTTGTTTGTTTGCAATTAATAGGCTAATTATTAATTCGATTTGAAGAATTCTTTCACTATATGGAAATTACACTATCTGTAGGCTAAAGGCTATATTTGTTACTAGATGTTTTTAAATTCCACGCACGAAGTCACGGGTAACAGCTAGTATAACGTAATTGGATTCATTAAAAGCTTACCTATATATTACGCAAATGCTCCTACATTTTTTAATTCGGTTTTGTACTTTTAAAGTTTGATTAGTGCTCGTAATAAGGAAATTTATTTCTAGAATTTCCCAACTCAGAGTCTTTGTAGCGTCAAAATATCTTATTATTCCAATATGTTTATAGATCTCGCTTACTTAGAAATTGTTTTTTTGTAAATCGAATATCGAAAATGGTCCTAAAACACTTTTTGTTACTAATTAAAAAAAATCTTGGCCTATCTTTATTGTTAAAGTCATGAGATTTTTATTCAACATCAGGTAAACTGGTAAAAATTAGACGTGCACTAAGGAATTGTTTCGCCTGCTCTGGAAAAAATCCAAGATGGCGGCCATCAAGACTGGCACTGGAAGAAGAACTCGCTTGCTTATTCCTTGATATAAAAAAGAAAAAAAATATTGACATTATGAATCAAGAAGTATGATGTATACCAACTTTTTCTATCCGACATACAAAATGCAAAACAAAAACTATTCTTGTTACCCTATCTGAAAGAACGCACATAGAACCTGTATGGTTCTGACGTACTATGTCTGTCATCGCCCCTTTAGTCGACAGGTGGTCGACCTGTCGTAAGTTACAATGAGAACAGACCTTTAAGTGTACACTCAAGGCCATATTAAGATGAATGTCATATCGAGAAAACAATACCGCGTCAATTTTCATGAGACTATTTTCATACTTAAAATAAACGCAGTCGTATACAATAAAGAAAAAAACAAACAGTATGTTGTTATATTCTGATGGCTACGGATGTGTAAAGGTTAATCTGACGTAAATCTTTTTTTTATTTTTATTAGTACAATCTGCAGCCTATGTGTTCTTTTAGACTATGTTTTATATCTATTTCAGCAAGATCCGTTGAACCGTTTTGAAAAAAACTTCTAAAAAAGATCCAAACATCTATTCATCCAAACTTCCACATTTATAAAACAAGTAAGAAATAAGATAAGATAAATTTTATATCATAAGGTAACAAACGAGCAAGCGGCCACTTGAATTCCGAAATGGCGAAGCAACCGCTGCACATAGACATAGAAAGATATACCCCTTCCTATGCGTTCCCTCCTAAATCAAATCCACTTATTCTTCCCATCCTTTCCTTATAAGAAAAGAGTGTGAACGGAAAGAGAACTTCAATTAGGTATCCGGTAAACTCTTCAGATAAAACGTGAAATTGCGTCCACTTTCATGCCTATGTTCTGAGAGGTCATGGTATTACATTAGTCGAGTCGGTTCATTCTATAAATGTTGTTGTTTTATTTATTTATTTAAGCTTTGTTTTAAAGTTTATAACATTACATAGAAATACAGTGATGCACAGCTTAAGTCTACATAAAAGAGTTCTCATACAGCTAACCTTGCGATACAGAGAGGATTTATAGCGGGTATTAACTGTATGTGTTGGTGTTAACCACTGTTAAGTCCGAAGAAAACGAAAAGTTGTAGATAAATACCTCGCGAAAAATGTTACGAGTTAAGTTATGTCACTTAAGTTTATAATGTTTACTGAAAGCTTAAACAACAAGAAAAATAAATAAGGGATTGTCTTTCGTATACAAGTTACTGTTAAAGTGCATAAACAAGTGTCTAAATTTAGATGAACCTGTTGTTTTAATTTGTAAGAAACTAGTTATAATCGATACAGATTAAAAAATACATAACATTTTAATAATAACAATTTAATACATAACTTTGATAAATAAGAAATAAGTTTTAAAAGTATACTTAATAAGAAAGAAAAGTGGATATGGGTTTTTTGGTATCATCATTAGCTCTATACGTCCCCATTGAAGGACTCGGAGCCTACCTAAAGTCAAGGGTGACTAGGCCATAGTCAACCACGCTGGCTCACTGCGGATTGACACACATATATTTGAATTCCTTCGCAAATATAAGTAGGTTGTATAACGATGTTTTCCTTCACCGGTAAAAAAAAATGCATAAATAATTCGGTTAATTCTCAGGCACTTGAATACTAAGCTCATTCATTTTATTTCCTGCATTTTAGTCGACATAAAATCCTTGTCAAGTTCTGACAACAGTGATATAAAAATAGAACAAGTTGCTACTTGAGTTTCCGGTTTCTGTTGAGGCATTTCGTGAGATTTTTTTATTAAGTTCTCTGAATATTCTGAAGATGAAAAAAATTAAGTACTATATAATTAAAATAAAAACATTGTTTAATGACGTATGAGAAATGACAGTCTGAAAATCAATTTAATTTATTATTAAAAATATTTTATACGATAAGGAATTAATTTCAAAAACCAAGGCTGACTTACTTCTGGTTTTTCAAATAGTTTTCCACTAGCTACGGAGTTATATGACAACGATGAGCCAATATAAAGGAAGCTTTTAACTACGCTGACAATGCGGTAATTACGTCTTATTGTATCAAATATTTTCTCCAAATAAAATATTCTTTATTACTTTCACCCGCGAATCCGTACGTGTGAAATTAAAAAAAAACCTAATTACTTGCCCATGTATTGCCATACCATGTTCTACATCAATGTCAAGTTTCAGCAAGATCCATGCAGCCGTTCTTGTGATACATTCTAACAAACATCTAACCAAACACTCGCATTTTATATTAGTACGATTAGATTGCTACACCATATTGGGGAGTTTTTTTTTTTATAATTACAAAATTATTGACATACTCTAAAATAATTTTATAGTTGAATTATCTTTCTAATATTATAAATGTGAATGTTTAGATGGATGGATGTTTGAAGGTATCTCCGGAACAGCATAACGGATCTCGATAAAATTTGGCATAGATGTAGAAAACATTCTGGAAGAATATAGGCTACTCCGTTCGGCTGTTAAATCTGAAAATAATAAATGAAAATAATTTAGATTGTGTTTCTATAATCATTATATTTCTAATACACGAAGCATAAACTTTATATGCCTTTTTAATGAAATTCCGTGAACATGACATTTTACACACATACATTTTATCAGGAGAAGTCATCATCATCAACCTGCCCTTATCCCTATTGAGGGTCGTCACAGTATGTCCTACTCCTCCATACATCTCTATCAGCCGTCATATCCGAATCTACCCCCTTCCTACGTATATCCTCTGGAGAAGTACATAAAGTTTTTTTTAATGAAATAAATCGATTATGCATTACGATCAAATTTAGACCAATGGTCGAATAAATATTAAAAACATCTACATAATAAAATACGCAATATAGTTTCAGGGCTTAATAACAAGTATAAGTGAATTTTATTGATGTTAATTCAAGTATTATAACAGTTGTAGTATTAATTTAAGGTAGCCTTTAGCTTTAAGTTTTAGTCGGACGAAGGCGTAACAGCCTCCAGACTAATAGCAAAAAATAAAAACTAGATCTTGGCTCTAAAAAACAAAAGTGAACGCATAATTAGTATTGACAATGCCGAAGGTGCCAGCTAGATAAAAACCAGATATATTTTTTTATAATACAATAGGTGATCTTTAAGAACTAATTCGGCAGTTGAAATCATTTTAAATAAGATAGAAGCACAAGTGTGACTCATAGTTACGATCAATTTTAAAGAGCTAGATTAACTCACTATACGTCTCCATTGAGGGGCCTCGGAGCCTACAGTTAGAGGTGACTAGGCCATAATCTACCACGCTAAACCAGTGTGGTTTGACTTTATAGATATCTTTGGATTTATTCGCTATGTGCAGGTTGCATCACGATGTTCTCCTTCACCGTAGGAACGTTGAAATGTACATACGTAAATCGAAAAACACATTTGTACATATCGGGATTCGAACCCAGGATCTGCAGATTACAATCAAATGTTCAATCCCTGAGTCACCGATGATCTGAGAAAGATGATGTCGATTTTTAATTTTCCAAATACTAATATAATAAATGCGAAACTTTAGATGTATGGATGTTTGTTAGTAGGTGCAGGTTTGGTAAGAAGCGAGCATACCATTTCCTTAAAGGCCGGCAACGCATCTACAGTTCCTCTGGTGTTGCAGATATCCATGGGTGTCGTTGATTACCTCGGTGTTCCCGCCGCTCGTTTGCCCCCTTCTCTTATAAAAAAAGGTATCTCTGGAACGGCGTAATGAATCTTGATGATATTTGGCATAGATGTAGAACATAGTCACACACATAGTCTACTTATTATGTTTTTTAGTTAGTAATCGCGGGCGACAAGTAATATGTAAATTAAAATCTATTCAACTGTTAGACCTATATATTATTGTTATTCTAAGAAATAAAATTAAAGAAAAAAGATCGATTTAACAATCTCGCTGTGCTATTTAAAGTATCTACATTATTACAATGAGACTTGTTGTTTAAAAATAAAATATTCAGCGTATGCGCATAAAATAATGCGTCTTAAATTATAAATCAGTAGATTTAATTTAGCAAGGGGTATTTTGAGTATTACGTTTTGGCCTTCGTGATGTAGTTAGTATATATTGAGCGAGAGTTTTTTCAGAAACACACAGTTCGTATACACTTAGTTGCAAGTGGTCTGCAATATAATATAAAATGCATTGTTATATTTTGTTCGCTTTGATCGTGGTCGCGTCAGCCTCCTCCGACGTCATCTATCAAGGACCATGCCCATCAGTGAAACCGCAGCAGAACTTCGATTTTGCTTCGGTAAGTACTTTTTAAACCATATATTTTCTAGCAGCAGTTTTGTAGTAGTCTCATGGGTCAGGACCAGGAATTCATACGATGCCTGGTAAGGAATAAGCTAGCTAGAATGAAGTGTTTTCATCGAATATTTTATGAGTGAGCGTAACAAACTCAACTGCTAGATGTTTTGAAATCAAATTCTACAGTGAATGTGGGACCTATCGTGAGAATAAAATTTCGTTTCTATTCATTAAGTTTGAATCGTCAATAGGCTAATATTTAAGAGTGCTAACTATCGACCTAGGGTTAGAATCCCGCCGACAATTGTGAATTTTGCAAGAAATGTTGGTAAAATCTAACTTAATTTACGGTGTTCAATGTTGTTACGAGGTTATATAGAACAGTTTTTGTTCCTTATTTAAGAACTAATTTTTTTTTTTAAACTGACTGAAAAGAAGGTTTATCTTGCATATGTAAGTTTGTTTATATGTATGTAAGTTTGTATGTACATTACATTGTGACGTTCTAGAGCCTAAACGCAAGGACTGATTTGGAGTTAGGTATCATTTAAAATCCTGGAGTGTTATTACAAGGACACAAAATAAATACAATGGACGTAAGAAATAACAAAGTAAATTAGTGAATCATGAGTTCGAATCTGACTCGTCATACCTCTGTCTTGTTGCGAAATAATTTTGTCAATGTTTTCCAGTATATTCTAAAATGTGAATGTGTTACATATAATATTTCAGTTCAGGCCACAGTTCGACTGTTCAGATAAAATTGTCTGTTAAAACTGAACGTATGTAGCTTTAATTGTATAGATGACGCTAGTATCGAGAAGTTCTAAATTTTAATTCTTTTGAGATGGAAAATAAACGAGTGTAATTGCTCTCAAGTTTAAAATATCTTTGAACTTGTGTGTAATAAGTATTTTTTTTAATTATTAATTTAAAATAATGTAAAGTTAAAATGGGAGCTTAATAAGACTTTTCTTCCTTATAACTTACTAACTAGGGTGACGCAGCGATCCAAAGTGGGCCTTGACCACCGACAACAAAGGCCCCAATTTCCCAACACAGTCCCAGACTTGTAGCATCCTTTTAAAAAATTCAAAAACTACTTAAAGTTAAGACTATTTTTCAAGTTAAAAGCTCTAAAATTTATCTTTTAGTAAATAATGTATGCTATTTTGTTTTGATTCATTCTTCTTTTCAAGCGCCGCTAAGACGAGTTACTAAACATGTATTTTTCTTTCCAGTACCAAGGAACATGGTACGAAATAGCGCGGTATCCGAACGCAGGTGAAGAGGGTACCAGGGGAAAATGCACGATTGCTGAATACTTCATCCACGGTTATGACTCTGGAAGGGTAAAGAACAGTCACGTGGTCGACGGCGTACGATCATTCATTGAAGGTGATTTGACGCTGGTGGGACCTGCTCGTATTAGGCTGACTTATACTTTTGATGGTAAGTTATATTTTATGGATTAACGAATCGAACAATGAGCTTACTTTCTATATAGATATTAAAATAATCTTTAATCTTCTAATGTAATATACTTACCTTACTTCTTACTAATATTATAAATACAAAAGTTTATATGGATGGATCGATAGATGTTTGTTAGAAGGTATCTCCGGAACGGCTCAACAGATCTTGATGAAATTTGGCACAAATATAGAAAATAGTCTGGAACACATAAGCTACTTATTAAGTTTTTTAATTCCTTGCCGATCGAGTGGCGAGCGATAGTTATTTTAACATAAATTATTGCACGCGGTTGTCTTAAGTCTTGTGTGCGTTGAAGTCTAATATATGAACAAACTTAACGTAACTTATATCAGTATTAGCTTATGCTCGCAACTTCGTCTGACCAGAATTTACTAAAATAAAGTATTTAATGGAGAATATGTTCTATATCTGTGGCAAATTTAGATAAGATGTGTTAAACTGTTGCGGAGTTATCAAGTAAACAAATAAATCAATCTTATCCCAAGGGAACCGTACACATTTCCGGGAACTTGGGTAGCCTATGTGTTCAAGATTCTGTTCTAAATCTAAACCAAATATCATCGAGAATCTTGCCATTCATTATCATCGTCAGCATCATAATCAGCCTAAATTCTTCCACAGCTGGACGTAGGCCTCCCCCATCGAACTTATCATTCTTGAATCTTATCATTGCCAACTGTTATTAATAATTTTAATAATTGCGTATTGTCATTTATTATTTGCAATACTACAAAGATCTTATTTAATTTAAGTGAACTATTTTTAACAGAACTGAAATTTTAAATACATTCTAAAATATACAATTTGTAGAGTTTTACAATTTTTATAACGTTGCTGGATCATCTTACTAATATTATAAATGCGAATGTTTAGAATGGATGGATGTTTGTTTGTAGGTATCTCCAAAACGGCTGCATGAATCTCGCTGAATTTTGATGCAGATGTTGAACATAGTCTGATTTTTTTTAATTTCACGCGGATAGAGTCGTGGGTGACAGCTATTTTTATATAAGGCTGTATTATATTTTCCTATTTCAGGACGCTCAAAATACTCTTACCTCACTGTACTGGACACCGACTACGTAAACTACGCTATTGGTTACAGCTGCAAATACTTCCCTGACGGTAACAACCATCAAGGTATGTTATAATACAAAATATCTCTCTATCTGTCATTAAAATATTTATTTTTATAACAAGCGAACGAGCAACTTAATTCGCCAAAATAGCGAAGTGATAGTATCGATATTAGTCAGAATGTTGAAGATATCGGTGCGTCTAAAAAGGGACAGCTTCTACCTTCTCCATTAAATTACCATTCCCATCCTTTTAGCATATTTATAAATATAAGTATTTATATTTACATTGAACAATTTGAAGTAGTAGAATAATAGTTTCCTCCTACACGTTTGCCACTTTGTCAAATCAAAAAATATTATAAGTGATATTTTACATATCCGACAAAATCTGCCACGCGTGTGTTAGTTATATCTCGTAGTAGACTGATAAGGTAATCTGACCCGATGAGCATGACTAATGCTAAATAGCGAGCTTTTGTCATTGTCAATAGTGTCACAATTTTTGTCATAGTGTCACGTCTGTCATTTTTCTTTTGTGTCATATTCTGTCCCTAAGTATTATAGGTTATACATGATATCTTTGAAATAAATAGCGCCTGGTGAAATAATTTTTGTTGCACTATATTCGGTCAGTTTGCTTTTGTCGTCACGTCGAAAAAAGCGTGAGAGATTAAACTTTATAGTGTGCGAAATTGGTATGAAGTAGATTTTGTAAAGCTATATTTTTAGTGGAGACGAAAAAGTAGGGTACGTGTATGGCGGACGCTAAACTTTTTAGAGACGGTACTAACTGCTTAATGCAGTTCGTGTAAGACAGCTTTTTGCTTATAAAAATTTGTGAGATCTAAATCTCTATATAAACATTCCCTTATCTTATTTGACAAAACAGATACCAATATATTTTAAACGGAGATTTTGGTCTCAGAAACCCAGGGTTAATCCTATAGGTATTTAATAATGATTTATGTTTTAGTGTTCTCTTGGATCAAATCAAGAAACCCAACCATGGACCCATACTCAAGGGCAATAGTTGAAAATTACTTAAAGAAGTCAACCATCCTTGATGCCAACAAATACATCGCAAACGACTTTTCATCAGCTGCTTGCCAAACATATATTTTCAGGACTATCACTGAATTCCTTAAGGATTAATTATTATATGTTACCTTAAATGGAACATTACTTAACATATTTTAAATCTTAAAGTGAAATTTTGATAACAAAAAATCACTAAAATGTTAAATTGTAATAAAGTATAAATTAATTTTTAGTACTTTTATTTCTTTCCCTATTACGTTCGTATGTTCCATATAAAACTTTAATAGTATTTTTTAATTATAATCTTTTTAATATCAAAGCTATAAGGTTACATGAATGTTACAGTTATTTATATATAGTACGGAAATATTATGTTTGTTATAGTTGTAAATGCGGGCTATTTTTATATTTATTCGTCATTGATAATAATGGCCATACATGTTTACCTTAAAAAAATCGAAATTCACAAACAACTGTCTTGAATTTAATTCCGATACAGTTAATGGCTTTAAAAAATATTACTAAATTGCCGTGAAATTCCATTTTGGTAGATGCTTTGAAATGTATCTTTGTTCTTTCAAAGAAATATAGAGATGACAAGAAATATAGAAGCGTCAATAGTCTAATGGTTAAGGGTACGGATTTCCGACCATGAGGTCGGGGGTTCGAATCCCGCCATTCGAATATTGTCGTAAACCATATCCTAGCACAATCCTAGAGCTTAGTTGGAATGGTTAGAGAAATATTAGTAAATTTACAAAAAAATTTGCTAATATTTTCAATAAAAAAAACAATTTATTTTTAAGTAAATGATCAAGAGTGACTATTACCAAATGTACTACTGATATACAAAAAATATTTAACTTAAATACAAAGTACAAAGTATTCTGTGGACTGTCATGGAAACGACTTCCGTAAAATCTCACTAAAAAAATTATTAAAAATGTTTTTTTTACTATAGAACATAAACATTTTTTTTCAGTATCTTAACTCTTTTGTTTAATTCCGGTACAATATGAATACATTTTTAATTTTAATTAAAAATTGCAAAAATGACGTATAAAACTTTGACAGATGACAGATGACTCTTGATTCTGGCACCATCAACTTAAAGCTTTTAGTTTTTCTCCTTATTAAAGGGTTTTTTTTTGAATTAAGAACGTAATTTTTTTTTTTAGTGCGGGAAACTTATCTGGATCGGTAAGAAAGCTGCTATGGTGGTTAGTTTTGTTAGTGTAAAACATATTTGCCCAAGAGAGCTCACAGTTCAATAAAGATTTATTTGCCATTGAGGGCGCTAATGAGCTATAGATAAATTTAATTTTACTCTTCACTTCCTTGTTAATTTATCAGTGTATTGAACTTTTTGTTCTTCGATATAATATTGATAACTGACACTAATAGACCAGCCAATTTAAAAATGATATAATTTTTTAGTTCAAGACTTAATTAACAATTAGATTGATTTATTATAGATTTTTATTGATGACATTTCTGATAGATTGTACTCGTATAAGTCTGCTGTAATTTACTTCTCAAATCTCTTTAACAAACAAACTTAATTTAATAAGAAATATTTGTTTTGTCTGTTTAATGCATAACAAACTATTAAACTACTAAAACTCTTAAACTACTGATCGGCATTTCTTTTGTTGCAGTCTTTTACAAAAGGATTTCAACGTTTCATATTAGTATGACGTCTCGTCGGGAGTCTATTTTCGAAATGACCTTTTTGAATTGCAAATGGCGCAGGCCTCCGTAGGCCTTTTTTGCGTTAGTTTTTTGCTCAAGATTGGTTTATCTAGCTTACTATAATAATATTATAAATGCGAATTATTAGAAGTTATCTCCATAACAGCTGCATGGATCTCGTCGAAATTTGGCATGGATGTAGATAATAGTTTGAAAGAACTCATAGGGTACTAAGTGAGTTTTTTTTTAATTCCACTCGGGTCATAGTCGAAAGCGTCAGCTAGTTCGTTATAAATTTGTGATTTGAAGTATAAAAGAGCAGGAAAATACGCGAAGGAAATTGAATCTCTCATTCTCTTTCGCATTATCGGCAGTCTTGGTAATATCTGGAACTATCTTATTATAAGGAAACAAGCAAAGTCCGTTCTAAAGTTTATAAGTTAACAAGCATAAAATAACTTATTTCTTTATTTAACTTTTATAAATAAAAGTATAAGAATAAAATATCGTGCAATCACTTTTGTGTTTACTTATTGAATGATAAAAAAAATGAAAAATCATATCCCTTTCACATTTTTCAATGTCAGTTTTTTATATCTTTATAATTTTCAAAACTGTCATAGCCTAGTCTAGGCTAACAAGCTACAGATAATATATGCTGGGTTACATACTATAATACAAAATCAAACATACAATTTGGCACCAGCATCACGCTGTGTGCATACTGGTGTGTACATTCGTGCTAGTGTGAACACGACTTTATCTCTAAAATAAAGAACTGCTACCCACAGACATTTTATCTATGAGACGTAGAATACTCTATGTCTGTCTTATTTTGTCATAAACATCAAAAGCTGACTTCATCCGAGAGGAATTCGAACATCCGAAGGAAGCGTCAATAACCTAATGGTTAAGGGTACGGATTTCCGATCACGAGGTCGGGGGATCGAATCCCGCCAGTCGACTATTGTCGTAAGCCATATCCTAGCACAAGCATAGAGCTTAGTTGGAATGGTTAAAGAAATATTGATACGCCATGAATACGCCTAAACAAAGCGACCATTGCCCATAGACATACGTAATTACGCATGAGTGGGCCTACCTTTAGTTTTATTTGAGTCTGTGGTATTTTTGGATAATAGAAAATTACAGCCTTTGACACCGGGCCAGATAACTTTGTCGCACTATATGTGTTCAAAGCTTTAGTTGTCATAAGAAGGATAACAACGTGTCACGTG